TCTTCTAGATACTTCTATACATTTCTGAGTCCCTACTCATATGTACAAGTTTTCAGAGTATTCTACATTACTCTAGAGGTTACAAGTATGTACAAGAGCAACCTAGATACTTCTAGAAGCTTCCGGACGCATCCCGAGCCTTGTAGCACGTTCTGGAAGGTTCCGGACCTTTCCTCGAAATTCTGGTTGCACCATTGTGTTCATTGGGTCCAAAACAGTAGACCACCAAGTTTGGGTTCATTTGGATTCCATTTGGTCTCCCAAATGACCCATTATTGTGTTACTGTCACTTGAGTGTTCACTAGGTTTATAAGCAGGTTGCTATTTAAAGCTCTTTAGGGGAGTGGTGCTTCCTAGCACCCATGGGCAACTCCCTTGGCCCGATTTGTTGCCTAGTGCCCAAGTGACGTTGCTTGCTGCCATTGTGGGTGTAGGGCTTGAGTTGTGACACGGAGCTCTATAAAATGCAGGTATATATTTGCCTTCCATGTGGAAAAACCCACCCATAGCCGGCATTCCCGGATGATCAAATATCTAATCATAAAACATCAGTACTATTCACGATTGTTTCCCATTAACTCAAAATCACACAAGAATCAAAAGTAAAAGTGCAGAGAAACAATGTTTAATTCTTCAGAACAAAATTAAACACAAGTACATATACATTCAAAATTATGAATCAACATACATAAGTAAGAAAGAAATTACCTCCAAAGTATGCTTATTGTAGCACAGTTTGACGAAAAACCCATACTGATTGAGGTCGAGTCCTAGAAATTGGAGGTCTTGAAGATGATTATAGAATGGTGTAAAGAGGCTCAAAATCACAGGAAAAAAGCTTAAGATTTCTATCAATATCAATTTTAGTTTTAGGAACATATTGTTCAACAGGTATATCGTCCTCTTTAAATTGCGGCCGCTTCAGCTTCCTTCGTGGCCGCGATTTCATCCTCTGCGCCATGCTTTCGCCGCCTTTCATACCACCAAACCCCTAACCCAATCTCTATCAGTATTTTATTTACTTGTAAGTTGTAACCAAATCTTCACCCTTACCAAAACTTAGGAGCCTAAATTCATTAATTAGGAGGCTTAGGGACATATTGGTACTTTCACTATAAATACATATCCTCCCCGGTATTATAGGAGATTGGGAGGCACTACTTGTACTAATAATAAAATGGAAATTTTGACTTTTGCTACCTCACAAACACCTCAATTTCAATTTTGCTACATATCAAAACTTTTATTTTATTTTGCTACCTAATACATGCCCTTTTTTAAAATTTTGCTACCACTGAACGAAATCTGTTAAGTGGGTCCATAACGACACGTGTCGTGTTATTATTGGCCAAACAAATTAAAAAAAAATTTAACAAAAAATTTTTTTAAAAAAAAGAAAAACCTAAACTACCCAGCCACCACCCCCGCACCACCACCCCCTTCCCCCAACTCACCGCACCCCTCCCCGAAACCACCACCCGCATCGCACCACCAGCCCTAACCCACCTAAACCCTTCCCCTCCCTTTCCCGCAACCGCGTCGCCTCCAAAAACGCTAAACCCACTTAACGGATTCCTTCATGTAATCCGCTTTTGTCATTACATTAAGTTAAGGATAATAATGTCATTGCACAGAGTAATGGCGTTAGTAACTAAGTTCAAAGCCCCGGCCCAATTCCCCAAATCCCCACCCTCCTTCTCTCTCCTCTCTCTCAAAGTTCCAACAATGGTGGGTGTGTAGTAGCTCCGGTGATGGAGGGTGTAGCGGTGACAATATAATGAAACTGAAATTAGTTGGGCGACAACTAGCTATGACTCAGGCAACGGGTGGTGGTGGTGTTCGTACTTAAATCGATCTCTCATCCGCCAACATCGGCAAAAATTATGCCCAAGAGCTTCTTGAAAAAGCTCCCTAGGTTAGTCATTTCAAGGAAAAATGGTCACCTTTAACCTTTGGGGTTAACCAAGCCCTTAATTTCACCTTTTCTTCTTAGGGTTTTCGTTTAATTCGGCGGAAAAGCCGCCGGAAATGGTGGTATTGATGGTGTCGGTGGTCGGTTTATTCGTTGAAGCTTGGAGATGATGAAGATTGTGGTATGGTAGCTTCAATGGAGGAAGCAGCTTGAACACTACTATTGTTACCGTTAGTAAACGGAGTTAGGATCTAGGCTTGCGTACTTGGTGATTAAGCGGCTGACAAAGCACAAGTATGAGCTGGCTAGTATGAGTAAGCACTAGATTAACAAAATATGTTAATCATGAAGATCAACTGGGCAAGCCCCGTAACAATAAACGATCAAATCCTCGTAATTACCCAAAGATAACCTTTTGAATAAGGTCTTGGACGTCGAGAATGATGGGGATGGCACTGGTGGTGTCATGGGTTTCGTTGTTACAATAAACAAGTTTATAAGGTGCTGTTACCGGAGGAATGTAGTCCGGCAAATCATCTTCATCAGATGAACAACTCACATATACGTATCCTTTTTTGATTTTCTGCTTCTTCGCCGGCACTAGTGGTTTTTCCTTTCTCGACCTCTTCTGTGGCGCAGCTACTTTTGTATCGCCGGAAACAACCAGTTTTGTCGCTCTATCTTTCTTCATTGCAATTAGCCAATAACTGATACTCGTAGTAATAAATATTCGAGATAACAATTTTTTAAAAATTTTCTCTTTGGTGAATTTTTATTTCAAAAACGCTAAACTTTTAATAATATATTAAGAAAAACTCGGAAAAAGTATAGGATAAACTCTACTTTAGCGTCTTTTTTTTTGTATGTTAAGTACAAAAAACGCATATAATTGAAGTAATTAAGAATAATTTTAACTATCATCTTACATTTTATGCATAAATTTAAGGGAAAAACTGGTCTGGTCCAAGACCGGTTTTTATGGGGTTTTGGACTGAATCGGACCGAAGACCGGAAAAAATAACTTTTTAGGCCCTGAGACCGGACCTGTTAATTCAGTCCGAGGTTGCTCCGGTCTAGTACGGGTCATTTTTTCGATCCGGACTAATTTTGAAACACCCCTAGCCCCCACCCTTGAAACCCAAATAAAACCTCTCCCTACCCTTGCTAGGCCTGGTCTAGTTACGGTTTCGAGGGTGGGGGCTAGTTTTAAGGTGTTTAGTGGGGGGAGGAAGGGGAGGTTTTAGGGAAGAGGGTTGGGTGGTTCGGGGATAGCGACAAGGAGAGAGGTTCAACGCGACGCTGGCTAGGGAAGGGGGGTCTAGGCGCCCCCTCCCCCAACGCTGCATCAACCGCCTTCGACCATCTGTCGCATCCCCCCACCAAACAACGAACCCCCTTCCCCGAAACCCCATCCATCCTCCCCTCGTCAACGCACGGTCTCCCCTACTTCTACCGCACGTACGCACCTCACCCCTTTTCCTTTAAACTACCACCCCTCTTCCTCGAAACCCACTTCTCTCCCTCCCACAAACCCCTTAGAAATCCCTCCTTCACCTCAGCTACCCATCTCCATCCTCAAAAACCCTAGCCGACCCTCCCTCCACCCTTAAAAATCCTAGTCGTCCCTCCCCCCATCCTCGAAGACCCTAAGAAAAGGAATAGGTTGGTTGGCGTTGGGCGCCAACGTCGGAGGAGGGGGTTTGGACGCCAGCAGGGGATGCGGGTAGCTCCAGGTTACCCTTGTCCCCTCCACACAAAATTACAAAATATTCACCAATGTTATCTTCGGATTAAAAAATTTTCCTCTTTATTTTTTATATTTCTTTTTTTTCTCAAATCTTCTTAAACAATATTCTATTAGCTAAGATATTTATTATTAAACCTGTGTGTTGTACGGGTTTTAAGCTAATAGAGCTCTAATTTGTAGTCAATTCAGCTCATGCATGCTTCGCGTGCACAAATGGCTAGTTTCATATTGACTAAGGAGCTTACGACTATTACTCCTTCCGTCCCCAAAACTTCGACCATTTTGGGTTGATTTCACGGGTATTAAGAAAGTTAAATAAAAAAAAAAGTAGAAGTATATTGGAAAGAAAATTTTACATGGGTTTTGTTAAAAAGTAGGGAGAGATAGTAATAAAAGTATATAGAAAAACAAAATTTTATATTGGAAAGCTAATTATGCACAAATATTGTTGTAAATTGATGGGTACATTAATGCTAATAGGTCAATCATTTTGGGACTAAAATTAGACCATAAGGATCGAAGTTTTGGGGACGGAGGGAGTAGTTATTAATAATTACAAGTACTTAAAATAATTAATTTTAACTAATTTTTCTTTTTTTTAAAAAAAAAATCCAATCATATATTATGACAAGTGTTATAATTAACCCAGTGACAAGTGCTTACCTATACTCTCCCTCAAAAAAAAAAAAGAGTATTTGGTTCTCACGTTTTAGTTTTGAGTTTGGAGGTGCTTATTAGCTGCTTTCTCATACTCTCCCTTCTCCAATGATACTCAAAAGTGAGGAGATGCTGAAGAAGATTCGAGACGAAGGGGGTAAAGTATTGTATATGTAAACAGAAATTGGGGGTGGGAGTCTGGGAGATGAGATGCAAGAATTCAAGAAATTATACACTTGTATTATCTGCCATGTTTGAAAGCTTGATAAGATTAGCATAATTCGAGCACGATTTGCCAGCATTAGTTGCCAATATGATCATACATACGGCAGTTGGAGATGGTCGAAAATTCTCTTCCTGATTACCAACCACGAAAGAGAGTTCAATCCATATAAATCAGTTTGGAGGGCAAATACTACCTCCGTTAAATGTTATGTGCAACTTTAGGGTATTATTTGCGAGTTATAAAATATTCAAAGGTTGCACATAACATTTAACGGAAGTAGTATATTTTTTTGGCTTCTTTCGAAAATTATAGAATCCATAATTTATTAACTTCAACTTAGTGGCTTCAATCTTATAACCTGCTCATTAATAACCAGAACGTGTCTCACAAGTCATAGAATACAATTTTCTTTATTCTCTGGAGTATTTGGAAGATCAGAAACGATGTAGACCATGTAGTGTTCAGAAACAATGAATATATTGGAGGTGAATAAGCTACCAAAGTTCTGCTTCATGTATGCAGAGAAAGACAAGTCAAGCTCTTTAAAATATTGTACATGCATGGTAAGAGTTACAGTACCTTACCAGTTACCAGCACATAAAATTTAGAGAGCAAATTACGTATGAATATGTTAAGCCTAGTCACACACCTAAAGCTTTAAACCAGCATCAGAAGCCCTATATACATTATTTAAAACCCGTCTAGTTAAGACATTCATATCTGCCTCAGGTCATCACCAAGACTTTCTTCCCGATTAACTTCAACGCATTAAAGAAATTTTTATCAATAATAGCTTCAGTAGTATCTGCAGCATATAAGCTGGTGTTAGAGAACACTATGATAAGAAAAGATAATTTCATGTAGCAAAAACACGTTAATAAAAGTATTTACAGCTTATATGATAATTTGAAAAGTGGTTATCAATCATTGAAACGATAATGAAATCCAGCCCGGATTAAATAATGATCATATTGTTCAGTCAATCAGTCCTGCAAAGAAGTCTTTTGTGCAATAAGAAAAACCAAGGACTCGTAGACAACCAGGCTGATAAAACAAAACATAACTAAATGTGGGAGATGAGAAGCAGCTTAGCACAGGGACAATAGAACTTTGGGTTCCGATCCAGGCAACAATGAAATTAGGAAAAAAAAAAAAAAACTCAAATGCAAAGAACAGACAGATATAAACGAATAGGTTGCAGCTAATGTTTTTTCACCTTCTAGATTAAAAACAGCTAAAACAAGAGAATTAAGTTGTATAAAAGTTTTGATAAGGATTAAGGAACAATAAGTTTATATAAAGGCTCATAGGTTCTCAGAATGAGGCAATAACATCATACATAAGATTGCATACAAATTACTTCATATAATAATATAAGTCTTTGCTTTAAAAACCATGCAATTCACTTCAGGGTTTTATTATCACACATATCCTATTACCAACAAAATAATTTGGATTTCTACACCAACTTATAACGATCATATGTACACCTAATAAGTACTGCATAGAGATCAAAACAGTAAGCCTGGCTTCTATAATCACAAACAACATCAAACATTAATCTCCCAAAGTATAATCTATATTACTCGGACCCTTGATTTCACTTCAGAACACAATCAAATAAGAGCATCAACTACGCGGACAGGATAGTTAACATTACCAAATACCAACCTTGTTTAAGCTTGATAATAGCAAGGACTTGTTCCTGTGTAGCATCCCTAACCATGCCAATCTGCCACTCATTCCTATAAAGGGGAGGTGCCAAAACCATTGCCTGAATTTTAGTCTCTTCCTTGGTATCTTCATCGACCACTATAAACGACACGTAGCAGAACGAATAGGCAATATTCATCTTAGTCTTCTCCTGTATCCATTCCTTTCTTGAACCCTACATAAATAAAATGCACATTATTTGAGTACCAAACTAGCAATTTGATAGATGTAAATATAAAATCGAGAAAATGAACAAAGAAAAACGTACCCCAGGGCAGTTTTTTTTGTACCAGTCGAAGGCAAACTCAGCAGCTTCAAGATGCCATCCAGTTACATTTTCCCCTTCCAGGTAATAAGGCCCAAACGGATTAGGTCCGGTTGATCATAAATCTAAACAATCAATCATAAAGAAATTCAATCAAATTGACGAACAACATATCAACTGCATGATAAAGGTTACACTACCATACCAATTTACAAAGACAAAATCAACCAATTTGACGAAGGAAGGGTAATTCAATCAATCAAATTGACGAACAACGTATCAATTGCATGATAAAGGTTACACTACCATACCAATTTACAAAGACAAAATCAACCAATTTGACGAAGGAAGGGTAATTCAATCAATCAAATTGACGAACAACGTATCAATTGCATGATAAAGGTTACACTACCATACCAATTTACAAAGACAAAATCAACCAATTTGACGAAGGAAGGGTAATTCAATCAATCAAATTAACGAACAACGTATCAATTGCATGATAATGGTTACACTACCTTACCAATTTGACAAAGACAAAATCAACCAATTTGACGAATGAAGGGCAAATCAATGAATCAAATTGACGAACAACGTATCAATTAACACAGACAAAATCAACCAAATTGACGAAGGAAGAGTAAACCAATCAAATAATCATTCAGTTCGAAAAAACAAAGACGAATTATATAAAAAAAAATTACCATCAATTTTCTCTTGCTATAGCATCTAATGACAAAACCCTCATAATTGCCCAAAAAGATACCCTTTTGAACAAGGTCTTGGACGTCGAGTATGATGGGGATAGCACTGGTGGTGTCATGGATTTCGTTCTTTTTGTTTTTCTGCTTCTTCGACACCTTTTGATCATCATCGTCTTCTCCGACGAACAACTCACTGCTATTGGTTTTTCCGATTTTGGCCTCTTGTGTGGCGGCGCCATCTTTGTTTCGTCGGCAGCAACCAGCTTTGCCGCTCTATTAATTAACTTACCGAGTATTTTTTTTAGTGAACTTATTTTTTCACCTTTTTTGGGTCTAAAATTACCATGCCAAGTTTTTTTTTTTTTTTTTTTTTTTAAAAAAAAAAAATAGGGAAAATTACCTTTTTTTTCTTATTTTATTTAGTTTATAGTCACCTAGTAAAAAAATTTTACAAAAAAACCCCACTAATTAAATGTTGTCGTCAAGAAACCAGTTAATTTACATGAGATTTCCTTACATATTGCTGAAATCAAAATTAATTCCTACTTTGCATTGTTTTAAAAACTTATTCCCTTACCTCAAAAAAAAAAAAAAAAAAAAAAAAAAAAAAAACTTATTCCCTTGTCAAAAAAAAAAAAAAAACTTATTCCCTGGATGATGTCCACGTACAATCGGATATTAGCATTATTTTTTTTGTTTTATTTTTGGTCATGTGTAAAGCTGCAATTAATGAATGTGGTTTTACATGTACAACTACAATTGTTGGTAACGGTTGTAATTGAAGAACCAATATTGCTAATTTTCTATTGGCGTTTCTTTTTACAAGTTTTTTTTAACCATCCCACTGATAATCTGATATAATCTCACCATTTAACCCTACAAGTTTTTGAGGTTGAATGCTTTGATATTCCCCTAAATTTATTATTGTATAAAATTACCCAGAAAATCAAAACAAAATCACAATTAAAAGCTGAGTTTAGAGAAAGGAAGTACAGAGAAGATCAAAGAAGAATTGAGGTTTACAATTAAGAAAACAAGAGTGAAAGTAGAGGAGAGAGAAAATGGGAAGATAGAGAAGAAAACGTGGTAAGAGAAAATGTAGCTTCCTTTTTTTTTTTTTTTTTTTTTAGAGGGCCCAATTTGAATTTTTATCATCATTGTACAGTGTATTCGTACTTTATTACTACAGTAGTATCATGTAAATCAGTAAAGGTAAAACCGCTATCATTAATTGCGGATTTGTGGTTCTACACACAACCAAAAAAAAAAAAGAACAAAGCTAATATCCGATCCTACGTGGACACCATTTAGGGAATAAGTTTTTAAAACAATGCAAAGTAGGAATTAATTTTGATTTCAACAATATCTAGGGAAATCGTTCTAATTTACATGCATAGTATTTTTTTTAAAAAAAATATAGATTTTCATGTCAAAAATACAACCTTTTAAAATTTTAAGCCCAAAATTAACGAAAAACATTTTAAATATCTCGTTTTTGCGTGCTAAGAAATACCCGATTTTCTTATAAATGCAATACTTCTCATTAAATTACACGTTTGTCAATACATTAGTTCAATCATTAATGTAATTTATTACTATTATGTACAAAAAATATTTTAAAAAATTAATTAAGTATAAACCAAGACGAATTTATGTTGTATTTTGTTATAAAAAAGTAGAGGAAGTATATACGTAAAAGAGTTTTTCAAACCACAAAATTAGAATTAATTTATTTCACATTACAATATAACCATCTTAGAATCATAGTGAACATAATTACAAAAGTAGTATGTGTAAATTTACTTAATGAGTGGTACCCAATTAAAATTAAATATAAACAAATTCTTTATATCATGCCAAATCTTACTCCAAAGCACAAGCTCATAGCTTCTTCTTCCTCCATGAACGCCACTAACAATGGCCCCTTCATCCGTAAACACTGGCATGATGGAAAATATAAATAAACCCTAAAAAAATGCAGAGTATATAAATAATGGGAAGTTTAACCCAAAATGGTAGATTGGTAGGTATATTTCGACGGTACTTGGATTTTAACAATGGAATTTTCTTGGGCCCGATTTGAGGAAAATCAAGCTTGAAGAAATATTTATGGGGTTCGATCTTTGACAAGAAGGTTTATTCTTTCCATAAATGCCAAATTGCTCATGACAAAGAAGTTGCTGCTACTCTTTTTCGGTGGTTTGTTGTGAACTCGCGATAAAAGGTGGTGGTTGTACTATGGCGGCGAATATGCCGATGGGCCTCTATGGTTGAAGGTTGAAACTTCAATGTTCGAAAACAACATTTATACCCTGTATATAAACAACTTATATATATATATATATATATATATATATATATATATATATATATATATATATATATATATATATATATATATATATATAGGGTCTAAACTTTTGTATTTACTATTACTCAATTGGTCCCACTTAACCATGGAGTATAATTTTTATCGAGTAAAAAAAGCATAATTAACATTTACTTGTAGTTAAAATGGTAAGTCGAAGTATATTTTTATACTCACATATTAGCAACACTAACTAATCTAAATCTAGTTAAGAAGAAATCAAAGTTTTTTTTAAAAAAAAAAATAAAAATCAAAGTTAATAATGAAAATTTTATGTGAATTTACTGTATAAAAAGTCAGAAAAACGTGATAATTTTAAGATACAGTCGCCTGTACCTAGCAAGGTACAGGCAAAAACGCGAAAAGAACATGTAGCGGTTTTTTTAAAGAACATAAAGTTGTTTTGTAAAGAATATCTAACTGTTTTGTAAAGAACATCCAATTTTATGTTTTTTTATACATCTAAAGAAAATCCCTAATATTTATAAAGAACATGAAAATATTATGTAATGAACATAATTTATGTATATTTACCATAATTTACAAAAAAAAAAAAAAATCAAAGAACATTTCACAATAAGTAATTAACATTATATAACAAATAAAAGTACATTACACTGACAATTAAAGAACATGAACATATGTTCATTTCGCTCTTTTTTAATATAAATATGTTCTTTTTACTTTAGATATGTGTTCATTACTTTTTAATAGTATGTTCTTTTCATTACAACAGTATGTACTTTACATGTGTGTAATATGTTCTTTTCGCGAAACGGCTGTACGATGCAAGGTACCAACGCCTGTAGGAACCACATATTGAGAAAAACGAAAGGATTACTTTTACATGCTCGTTAGGCTGCACATTAAAAATTGAGGACTTGAAAATTTCCATGAATTTGCATAAGAGCTTGTTGTTTGGTTGACAACAAAATGCAATAATGCCTTTAATGGTGAAATCAAAATACTCCGTGTATGAGAATTTTCATTTCCCACCCAACATGGAAATAAATTACCGAATCTAAAACCAAATCAAATAAGATATGAAAAAACCCATAAACTTTATCACATATTTTTTTTGACAAGATTTGAGAATTAAATTCGCATAATATCCAAAATTATGTAAGATTTTACTTCCGTATGAATTAAACACTCCGTTTATAAACTCCCCCAAACAAAATCGCTACGTTCCATCACCCTAACAATTCAAACACCTTACACCGCTAAACCCCAAAATCCCCCCCAAAACCCAACAATATATACGACGAAAAAGGTGCACAACAAAAAATAAACCCAAAATAAAATAAAATAAAATAACCCATATTTTTTTAAACAAATAAAGTTAATAAAATATTCTCATGACATTTAAGTTTTTCGCGGCAACGGCCCCCCTTTCACTCTATTCTCTTTTTTTGAGTCATCGTCGTCTTCCTTTTCTCTCTCTTCTTCCGCCGTTTTCTCTCTCCTCCTTCACTCTTACGCTTCATCTCAAATTCATATTCCCCATTTTTTCTTCAATTCTTTTTTCTAATCTAAGGTAATGTAATTCTCTAATTTTATGCCACTTTTGATTGCTGATCTTTTCAATTTTTTCTAGGGTTTTACATTGTTGATTTTCTTAAATTTTCTGCATTTCCCCCTTTTTTTCAAAATTTTGTTTGTTTTACTTTTCTTTTGTCGATAACAATTTTTTGTTGTTTGAATTTACTTATTTTTTTTTCGATTTTTTAAATTTTTTTTCTTTTGTTCAGTTGGTGGTTGAATGTGATTTTTGTTTTATCTCTCCTCATTCTCCTCGTTTTTTGAAATTTGGTTTTTGATTTTACGATAATTTGATCCTTTTTTACTTATTTTTTTGGTACTTGATGTTATTTAATTTAACTTGATAAGTGATTTTTAATTTTTTTTTATAATTTTTCTCTTTTTTTTAATAATTTTTAAAATTGGATCTTGATAATGCAAATTCTGGTTGAATTTTGGTGGTATTATATATTTTTTTTCAAAAAAAACCCTTTAAATATTTTGATTTCGACTTATCCGATGATTAGGGCTTGCTAATTAATAACTTTTATTTTTTTAAAATTTTTATTTTAGTGAAAGATGGCGCCAGTAAAGAAGTCGAAAAGTGTAAGAGTAATTACTTCTGCTAGTGATTCATCTCCAAGTAAAGATGAAAAATCCAAACAAAAGGTGAGGTTTTAATCATTCTTATTTTTGTAAGAAAATATTATTTATAATGATAATAATTTGACATTGAGTAGGTTGTTTTCTTGTTTATTTGTTGTTAGTATGACTTATTTTTGTTGCAATTTAGGTATGTTATTGATCTTTGAACAGTTGGGTACTATTAATAATTTTTTGTCGAATAGTCTGTTAAACCCGTGGCGAAAAATGGTGTGGGTTTGATTTTATTAACCTATATAGGGGTTTAAGGGTTCATTACCATGGTTTGGTTGGTGAGAAATGTATGGTTTCTACTTAGTCGGATTATTTGGTGGTTTGTTTCGTGATCAAAGTATCATATGACTTTCATTCTGTGTAATAACAACTTGATGAGTTTTGTGAGTTGCTTTTGATTATGTTTTTCCGGTTAATGATGGACCATCCTAAGATATTGTCTCATTTTAGTCATATGTTGAGGTACTTTTTAGGGGATAGAGTTGCAATGTTGCATAACCATGAGTCTGAACTGACATTTCATTACAAAATCATTTGGGACTCATTATTGTTACCCTATTTTAGCAGTATTGAATAAGCATTTTACTTGCTCGCAGATTTAATTTGGTCATTTGCAAATAGAAAATTGTTGGTATTCTGTATCGGTTTGTTGATACATTTTGCGCTATCTGTATATTCTACTAGGCAATATACTGAATTGTTGTATGCTAATGTGTTTACTGTTTAGAGCATAGAAAGTGTGAGGAAGTAATGCCATATTGTTGCTTCAGTTTTTAGTAAGACGCTGACGTACCACCTCTGATTTTTACCTTTTTATCTGAGGCTTCCGAGCTCTTACCTTTATTCTTCTTTTTGGGTGATTGAATTTTAATAAATATTTCTGGTGTTTGTTTGTTTTTTTGTTTTGTTTTATACGAAGCATACTTTTCTCTTAGCTTTTGATATGGTCATTGGCCGTCTTTTTTATTTGTAAACTAAAGGATTGCCTGCAGATCTCATATTTTATGTTTCTTATCAGAGTTCTATTTTCTAGATTTATGTATGCTTGTTGTGTGGATTTAGTGGGGAAATTTTTAGAGGTTTGACATAGCAATTTTACGTTTTCTTATTTAGAAGCGGAAGTTATCTGATATGCTCGGACCTCAATGGAGTAAACATGAAATTGAGCGTTTTTATGAAGCTTATCGGAAGCATGGCCAAGACTGGAAGAAGGTAAGGGTATTAGCCAATGCTGCCTGAATCATACTTTTAAATTGTCATTGTGGTACCTTCTTGTGAGCTTGCTGGGATGCATTCATAAACAATACCGTGCATGCATCTGTATCAGTTTCTTAGGCTAATTAGCTCATTAATATAACTATACCAAATAAAAAAGCTATAAGTGTGGTGGGACCCAGATTCCTAATTATTGGTCATTGGGTGCTCTCTTTCTAGATTTATGATATCGAATGATTTACTCTTCCCCTTAGTAACTCTTATTGTACTTGCAACTTATATCTTCCTTTTCATGCCATCACCTTTTTCCCCTTCTAATTTATTTATCTTGCTCATGGTTAATTTCAGGTTGCCACTGTTGTGCGTTCTAGGTCTATAGATATGGTTGAAGCATTGTACAATATGAACCGAGTAAGCATTGTTCTTAAATCTTTGAAAGTCAACGACTTTAACTTAGCTTTAGTGAGGAATACGTTTTCTGTATTTCAATATTTTTGCCCCTCAAAACATATTTTCTTACACCCCTCAAAAGTAAAGAATGTACGTGATTTGATACGTGAGTATTCTGTTCTCTATGCTGTCTAGGGCCATCACAACCTTTTTGGAGGCCCTGTGCAAATAAGGAGTATAAAATTTGGCAAATGAATATTATGTTCTTCCGAGTAATTTTTATATAAAAAAAAGACTAAATTGTTGTTTTTTTCCCTCCCTTAAAGGAACAAATATATTAATGTTGTAATTATCAGATGTGAAATATTAAGGCATTAGTGATTTACTATGGCAGTTTACAAAATGCATTAATTGCTGTTGAAAAAAGGAAAAGTTTAATAGCAATTTAAATTGGCATTAATTGTTTTTTTTTTTTTTTTTTTTTTTTTTTTTTTTTTTTTTTTTTTAAAAGTAAATGGCGAAAATAAGCCATTAATGGGAGTAGAACCCCCAACATCTACTATCTACTATGTATCTATAAAGTATAAACACTAAACCACTAAGCCACGTTTAGTATGTATGTATATTTAATTATTTATTGCAGTACATCGTAAATTAGTAATTATATATTGACTTGAGACCCCAATCAGAATTGGGCTGTGTGCGGCTGCATGGGCTGCACTGGGTATGAGTCGTATGACTGATTTCTGCCCTGATGCTGTCCACCTGATAAACGGCCTATAATGGGATGACTGATTTCTTTAAAACTAGGGTTTGTTCTGTTAGTTGTTTTGTTTATAACATCTATTATATCATCCTAATTTGTAGTTGATAATACTGCAAGAGTAATTTCTGTAGAGAGTGAATCTAATATGGGATGGTCATTGTCAATAAAGAAACCTAATGTTATCAATTAATTTAATTTTGTTTGAATCAACAAATCATGAATTTATTTATCGAGGAGGAGAGTAGCTGTCTCTAAGTTGTAAGGAGCTGTCATATCTCAAAAGCAATGTGAATCACCTATATATAAATATTACAGTGATTGATACTTCATATTATAGTATGTGATAAGTCATAAGGATCGGAAACAATGCACCGTGTAGATTATTTACTGTATTAATGTATTGATAAGTTTCTTTTGCTTGGCTCAAATCGTGGTAAGGCAAGTACTGATTTATTTTAGTGGTGAAATGCTAGAATTTTGGGATTTTGCCTTGTATCTCGGGACAAATTGGATTTGGAACCTAGTGAAAATGTCAACTGTAAAGCATGCCAAGATCTGAAAGTTAGGAATATTTGATATTTTGAGAACTCGTCACAATTAATTTCTCTCTTGTTTCATTGAGTAATTGTTTATGCGTTATTGTAAACTTAAGAACCTTGTGTTTTTGAAATATGTGTTTGTTAACTCCTCCATATAGAGGTTCCTTTGACAGTACACTTTTTATTTGTGGACATTTAAAAATGAGTTAATTGTATTACTTACCTTTGAAAAGTTGGTATATTGAAAATTGAAGATGAGAGTATGCTCTTAAGAGTTTTAACCCCCACTATCCTTGCTAGGCTATGTAATCTATGCTACATGAACTTAGATATAATTAACTGTCATACAAATTCATATCTATATGTCCTAGGGTTAGAATTAGTCAATTTCCTTGAATTTAGTTTTTTGAGCTTATCACTTTCCTTAGTAGAAGTAATTATTTTCATGTTAATGCCTGATTATTAAGTGTCAATTCTGGGTACTTGACATGATACCAAGAATTTATATCAAGTATATGGCAAGGCATATGGGTTTAAAACCGAGTACATGATGAAATATTTTAATATCTATGGGGGGTCAGTGCAGTGGAATGGCTTTTTTTTCGTTTTTGTTGACTGTTAAAGTTTGTTAAATGAAAAGATGTGCAAGCAACATATATACTAGCAGGAAGTATAGGTAAGATGATATAATGAGTGAATTGTTACTCTTGACTTTTGCTTTGATTTGATTATTTCTCTGTACCTTCGGTGCTCTAGTTTTTTTATTTTCATATTATTGTAGAAACATTTTGATTGTTGTAAGCATTACTTATAAACATCTGCATGCTCTTGCTCTTCAGGCATACTTATCTCTACCAGAAGGCACAGCTTCTGTGGCTGGACTCATAGCAATGATGACTGATCACTATAATGTCCTGGTAAGATCTTAGCTGACTCTTGATGGATCTTTTGGTTGCTCTATAAAATTCTTTTCTTACCCAATTCTAACTGAATCCTATTCTAAGGCCAAAAAGTAGTAGGAAAGTCCTATTTATATATTAATTCTCCTGAGAGGTGACTATGATCTGCCTTGAGATGAGTGGTGCTTATTTCTTTTAGATAATGGTATTAGTGACAAATTTAGTTGCTGAAAAATTAATGTGCATTTTATCCGTTCTTTGTGTGATCAGTCGAGTGCTGTGATTAGTTTTATAATTTATAGGTCTTAATTTCTGATTAAGACGTGTAAATTGGATATTTTCTCATTGTAGAGATTATTGTCTGCTTTTGCTTGTTGCTCTTCTAATTTATTTGTTGTGATCACAATAAGAGTTTATAGGTTTTTTTTTTATTTTTTTATTTTTTTTATTTTTTTTTGTTTTTGTTTTTTTGGTAATACACATTCTTCCTTGTGATCACTAAATTGATTTCATCATATTGGTAGGAGGGAAGTGGCAGTGAAAAAGAGATTAAGGGGCCTGAGGTAATGGCTCGAAAGATTCAGAAAAATACTAAAGCAAAGGGTTTGCTCGACTCTTTTAGAGATGATTCTAAGCTTCAGTCTACAGGCTCATATGATGGCTGCTTATCCTTGCTAAAAAATCGTGGTGATGGTATTTTCCTCTTGCTAATAATAATCTTGTTTCAATGTGACATGTATCGTGTGAAGTTTTAGTTTGGTTTTATAGGTTTGATTGCATAACCAAGTTGCATTGAGCTTTGATCTTACTCAAACCTTCAGGTATCCAGCTGAATTTCCCTGTAAGAAAAAGGACACCTCGTGTACCTGTTTCATGCTTGGACATTCATCCAAATAAGAAGTCTCGAGTGTCGGGGAAGATTGCAAATGACACTGGTGTTCCATATGGGGATTTAAGGCCGAAAGAAGCATGGTGCAATCCAAATTCCCCACATGGCTCACAAACAATGTACAGAAAAAATGAATGTACAAGGACTTCACAAGTCTCAGCTAGAGAAGAGGTGGTATGTTTATGGCTAGTTTCTGGCCTAATGGTTTTAGAGGTTTCTAAAGATATCTTTCAGTTTCATGCAAGGTGTTTAATTGTTTTTACTTTTTTTATGTTTGTGTTCCAGATGTCACGATCTCCTGTTCTGAAGGTCAGGACTGGTGGATTTGCAGCAGACAGAGATTTTAAAGAATGCAGCTTGGGCTACAATGAGGCCAAAACTGAAAATTGGGCCAGGGATAGAGTGGATATAGGTAAATCTGCTTTAGCCGAGTACAAGAAAGGGAAGAAAGGAAAGAAAGGAAAGAAAGAGGAAGTTCAGCACTCCGAAACTACGTTATTTGATAATATTAGAGAAGCTTACAAGTATGCTGATAAAGGACCAAGAAGAATTGGTTCTGATGGAAAAAGTGCCGATATTTGCAGATCAACTTCTGAGGGCCAAAGTAGAGGCAAGAAACTGACCTTTGAAGGTAGCTATGCTCTTGTTATATTGTTTTATATCTCTCCTATTTTTCCTTCTTTAAGTCTGGGGTAGAGAAATAAAAAAGCATTTTTTGATTGTTGGGGATGCAGAAAAATTGGTTTACGTAGGAAACAGATTTGACAGAGGGAAGGACCAGCTACGCTATAGTAGTTGGGAAGGCAGAAGCAACTGTGTTCCATGCATCCTTGCTTTTCTAAGATGGCATAAAATTCTATGTAAAACCTCATGAGCATTGAACTTGAGATTAAAAAAGAAGCTAAAACCACTTCTCATTCCTCCAGCCTTCAGTCTTGTATTTGTGATAGCCAATATTTGTTGACCATTAAAGCACCTTACAACCCTTATTTCTTATCTACATTAGCCTCAAAATGGTGGCTGAAAACATCCAAGTACCCACCAGACTTTAGTATATATAAAGTTTGCTTTAATATTTATGGAGGCCAACATTTGCTGACCATTACAGTTCCTTACACCCCTTATTTCCACTGAAGCTTATATAAGATGATATCTCGTTTCCCCTAAACTGGTGGCTGAATACATTTAAGTACCCACAAACCTCAGTTACACTAATGAAGAATATGACCTCTATTGAGCAACACAATTATTAAAAGTATTTGTGCAGAATAGTACATGGGTCACTGCCAGCAAAATCTAATGTAACTAGAAAACATTATTTACATAACAATATAGTTATCTACTCCAGTAGTTATTTATTTATGTTGTGAGAGTAAAAATCGTGGGCCTGTTGTTTAAAATAGTAAGCTTTAATTTGTTGTTATTAAATGAAACATTATATATATATATAGGGAGTATTTCCTATGTGTTTTTTTTTTTTTTGCTTTACCCATTGTTAGGGCTGTTCTGTTCACCTTATTGTCACTTATTTCAGGTGTAATAAGTTCCGATAAGTTAAGTTTAGTTCAGGAAATAAGGGTTACCCAAGTACAAATCACAACTAAAATATGTTTTAGTAAGTTCAGATAAGTGAAAATCAGGTGAATAGAGCACACCCTTAGTGTAGTATATAGTGTGTAATTTGTGTTCTCTCTCTCTCTCCCTCCCTCATTTTTTTCTTCTATATTTTCTGGTTGTGTTCTACCCAGTTCTACTTTTTGCCAATTTTGGCACACCCATTTTACCATCTTATCATAATATACTTTGGTGGTATAATGCATATCTGTTGCTTGGCAGATGAACTTGCAGCTTGTGATGCGTTGCAGACTTTGGCTGAAATGTCCTCAATGATGCCATTTATTGCTGCAGAACCTGGTAAACCGTCTTTCTCTCTTTTCTGCTGAATCCTGATATTATGATTGCGTTCTTAGCTGTGGCACAGAACGCAGATACCATCTATAGCTTATATCTGTTCTCTTTCTATGTTCTGTTTTTTTTTTTTTTTTTTTTTTATGTTTTTTTTTTTTTTTAAATGTACTCTAACCAATATATGAAAAATGGCTTGGGGAGCATTTTAGGGGGCAACACATTTATGTTGATTTTCTTTCTGCAGCTTCTTGAGCCCTCTTTTCTTGTCCTTTTACTTTCATCTCATCAATTCTTTTGCATTGTATCTGGAATGTTGTCGTAGGTTTTTAATTCTCTGCTGTATTTTTTTTTAATAAAGATTTTTATTTGTTCTATCCTCTGCCTTGTTTGCTGTTAAAAAATTTAAATTCTCATAAGTGTAGCTGTAAATGTAAATTACATTGCCTGGTGTATCTTGTTACATGTATATAGAGATTTTTATCTGATTGTTTTACTTCTATGTAATCTTTCTATGTCAAGATTTATTTTTAACCAATGCCCCGGGTCATTACATGAAGTTAGCAATTATACATTTAATTCATGACTTAATCTTCTCTAAGAGTGTGTTTGGTTTGATGTAATATGTTTTCATAGAAAAAGGTCCCCCCCCCCCCCCCTCTCATTTTTAGTTGCAGTTAAGATCAATTATATTCCATAGTGACTGGTCTCCGAGCATATGTTTTTTTTAAATGCATTTGTTCGTTATTAAAATTATTTCTATGTTTCTTGTAATGCCCTAGCTAATTGTTTAGGGCATGAAATAAATTATAAGCTGTTATCTAAGGGGTATATCTCTATTTTTGCATTTGAAGTTATAACTAAAATCATAACTTTCTCAGAAGATCAATGACAGGGTCTGATGTTTTTGGCCTTTGGTATATGGCTCTATATTCATCTATTTAACTATATTAGTGACTGTACATTTGAATAATTTTGCAATGCAGATGCAAGTAAGTTTTATTAATATGTGGGTTTCTGTTAAGGTCAGACTGTGATTCTGTCCATAATCTACAAATCATATACATATATATATGGATTGTAATCTTGAAATTAAAGTTTTCTAATTGGTTAATACATGTGTTGACAGTAGTTCCGAATTTCAAATGTCTTTGGTACAGCACTTTCATGGCTTTGTGAACTTTGCTGTCATGTAACTCATGTTTGTATTATTTTTCTTTGGATTTAGGCCATGGTGAATGTTTCTGTCATGATCATGCTCTCTCCCTTTGGGTTTAGGCCACTGTATATGTTTCTCTGTATTTTTGGTGATGTGTAGTTTATAGAATATATATGCAAGAAAATTTTCCAGTTAACAGAGCATGGATGTTTTCTTTCTGACAATCTTGTCGATATTTATTTGGAACCCTGTAATGCTGTTTTGCTGTATTTGGGCTTAATTACTGATCATTATTTTTACAATGTACTGTCTTTGAAGCTGAGGATGCTGGAGATTCTGTACTTGTTCGGGAAACTGTAGTTAATAGTGTTGCTTGTTCCAATATTGCATTAAGTGATGAGAAGGCCAGTGTTGAGTTAAAGAAGAAACGGAAGTCCCAAGCTTTAAAGGTAACGATCCAGCTGCATTTTTTTTTTTCCTTTTTTGTTCATCTAATTGTCTTTTAAACATTTACTATCTTGGATGCGTCGCAGGTGCCAAAGGCTGAATTTCCCAATGATTTTTCTAAAAAGCCCACAGAAGATGAGGTAGGAAATTAATTACTCTAGACACTTTTCTGTGTGAATTCTTTGATGCCACTGTGAATCTGTGATATATGTGATAGTTTTCTCACTTTGTTTGTTCAGTTTAATTTGATGCGTGTCTGTATTCCTGCAATGTTTTCAGCATAATGAAATTTTTTTAATACCTGTAATTATTCTTAGTTGACTTGGTTTTGCCTTATAATTTTCTCATGTTTAAATTTATATTGAAATCAGAAAAGAGGCATTCAGACATAATCTTTTCTGTTCTTTTCACCTCCTCATTCGACTTAATCTCTGGATGTGCATCTTTTGGCTGGCATTTTGTTTGAGTCAAGGGGATATAATATGAATTAGTGGTTAGAATGTTAAGCACATGTATTTTTCAGCTTAATATTTTTCTGTTAAAATCTCACTTTTAGCAGTCTTCCAGTGCATGGCTCATAGGATATTCAGATATTGTATATCATGAACTTGCTTGTGAATATTCCCTTCGTCACAGAATAGGGTGCCTATTTTCATATTTATAGTCAAACTTTTACAACTTTGATAGTCAAATGTACATCTTTCAGAATGTGTAATACATACAATGAGCATACTATCAACTTTTATAATCTCAGCTATTTATAATTTTGGTTAATGTGATTCTAAAGGTATTGATAGTCAAATGTACATCTTTCAGAATGTGTAAAATGAAATAGTCTCTATATTATAGGAGGGAGGGAGTAATTAATGTGGGTGCTGACCAGTGTAGAAATCATCAATGGTGCTGGGAAGTGAAAAGCATAGGTTTCTTGTTTGTGCTTAGATTTCTGAGAATTTGAATTAGGTTTTCTTCATGTCCTCTAGGAGTCTAGGTTCATTGTGTCAACAAGATTGGGTGTGCATTTCCCCAACTGCTTATCTCTGGGCTATGGATTTGAGGAAGCAGAAGATGACTGGAGCAACTCAGCTACAGTTAATGAATTAGGATTAGCTCTTTGTTGGTTATCAATAGACTTTCTATCTTTATAGCTCACTGACTATTGTAATAGATAAATGAACCAAGGTAAAGGGTACATGGGGCAAAACATGTTACTACCGCAAGTGATTGATTCTTTTATATGGGGAAAATAAACCAATGGATTGTCTGTAAATTTTTTCGTTGGCTGTTTTATTTTGTGATTGCTAACTTCTAGCGGCATAAGTGATCCTGTGGTTTTAATGTTGATTTTGTATTTTGGATTTCTCAATGGTTCTTGACTTGTTTGTTTGGTTTGATTGACTGTTTTTTTAAATTGTATTTTAACATTGCAACTTGGTGAGGCTTGCTTTTGACAATTTGTTTAGGAGGATGAGTTAGCTATGACTCTATGAGATATCTATGGCCTGTTTTGTGCTTATTTCTTGTAGCTATTTGACCTTTACTGCTAAATTACTGTTTTGTAGAGTGTGGCTGATGAGGATGTGAAATCTGGAAACAGTAGTGGACAGATCTCTGTTGTTTCCAAAAATTGTAAATCATTGGTTAGGTCTCCAGACGTGTCTTCTAGCAATGACCCTCATACAGGAGAGGCAGAAGTTGCAGTGTCTAGTGCACATGTTCACCATGCTAGCCAGGTTGTTAACCCTACAGGAAGGAAACGTAGACGAAAACGAGACAGAACATTCCTTCTAAAGGACAAAAATTATACTCCGAGTTGTTCTAGTGATAGCTTGTCTGTACCTCATGAAAGATTGCAGGACGTGAAGGTCAGTTTGCTTATTTCCAACAATAATTGACTCAGGATTCTTCTTTCTTCTCAATTATATAACCTATGCTTATTTTTCTATCCTGAACAACTTAAATTGTAGGGAAAGCTTTTACATTGTCTTTCCTGGCATGAAGTACGCAGATGGTGTGTGTATGAGTGGTTTTACAGTGCCATTGATTATCCTTGGTTTGCTAAGAGGGAATTTGTGGAGTACCTAGATCATGTTGGATTGGGACATATTCCAAGACTTACTCGTTTTGAATTGGGTGTTATTAGAAGGTATAATTTTTATTGTTACTGTGAAAAGTTTATCTCTCTTGAGAGGAAGGGCTGTTAAGTTTGACTGAAATATATATGATTGCAGTTCCCTTGGTAAACCTCGGAGATTCTCTGAGCGTTTTCTACAGGAAGAGAGGAAGAAACTTAATCAATATCGTGAATCTGTTAGGACTCAATATGCTAACCTTCGGGCTGGCCTTGGGGAAGGACTTCCAACAGATTTAGCTTGTCCACTGTATGTTGGACAAAAAGTAGTTGCTATTCATCCAAAAACAAGAGAATGTCATAATGGCAGTGTCTTGACGGTTGATCGTGACAACTGCATGGTCCAGTTTCATCATCCGGATTTGGGGGTTGAACTCGTCATGGTATATTCTAATTTCCCTTACAATCTTTCTTGCTTGCTGAAATGTCTTGATGCCTATAGCTCAAGTTGTTCTTGTCTTTTAAGGCCATACTTCCAGAATCTTGTCTTGAAGGGTCATACTTAGAGCATGGTTGTACATAATTTAAAGACGTCTTGCTGTCAGCTAAACACTATTTATTTTTTGCAATTTTCTTTAGAGAGGGATGAAAAGTGATACATGTGAATTCATAATTGCAAGGTTTCCAACGAGACGGAGTAAGAGTAATTGCAGGGAAGAAGAGAAGAATAGAAATCATAAAGAAAAAAATTATGTTGATCCTTTTCCTGTGAATTTATTTGTTAAAATTTTATGAGTATGCTCCTTAAGGGGGGCTTCAGTTTGGGTAATAAAAGCTGCATGGGCAAAAACCCCTTTTGTTCCCTCTGCCTTGCTGCCACTTGAAACTAGATATCAATTATCCAGCTTAGGGGATGATGGTTGGTTCTTTGGCTTCCTTTGATTTAGAGATTGTAATGTTAAGAGTATAGAATAAATTTCTGTAGTTATCTCATGATGTTATGATTGGAAGGTTCTGCATTTAATGAAATATTACACTTATTTCTCCTAAATTAAATTTGGACTAAATATGCTCAGTTAAGTCAAGTCAATATGATGCCCCTACTAATGGGGCCATTTTGAAAATTTATTAAGGTTAATTTTCCAATATCTCCAAAAGGATGTTACCTTTTTTTTTTGGTTCTTAGGTCATTCCAGAAAGAATTACTATTAGCTGTAATTTTGACAATATTCCCGGGTACTTATAACTCTAATCCCGTTTATAATTTAGGTGACCAATATTATCCCATGCCGAACGACTAATTGTTCTCAGTAATTGAATTTCTTAATAGTCAATTGTAGTATGTTATGGACATTCTTTCCCATGATATAGAATATTTCTGTGATGAAATACATTTATATATTTTTTTTATACTTTGTGCAGATTAGTTAATTAAGCCATTTAGTGTTTTTTTTTTCAATTTATTTATTTATTTTGGTATTTTCAATTTTTTTTAATCTCTGAAACAGGATATTGATTGCATGCCTTTGAACCTGTTGGAGAATATGCCCGAAGATTTGAAGAGGCAGAATATGCTATTTGATTACCGCTGTGTACAAGTTCCAAAAATCAACGGAGCAAATTTTTCCGCTTTAGAGGAGTACAATAAAAGTGTCAATCACCATATAAGAGTTCCTTCATTCAGCCCATCAGTTGCAGCCGATATGAAGGTAATTTGCAACTTTTTTGAGAAAAAAAATATATTACTGTGATATTGTTCTTATGTGGTCTCTTGATTGAGGATCATTTTGTTTATAAAGAACCTCTGAAGGATGTAAAAGAAAACTGATCTTTACGCCATTGATTTTTTTGTTCAGCCTAGGTTTGGGGGATGATAATATGAGTTAGCTTGAGCTTGGTGCACAAATGCACAATTCATTTTCAAGCCTTGAATTTAAGGCTTAGCTTTGATTGTATATAATTATAATAATAATTTGATGATGGATTGGTACCCCATTTACATGTGGAGTTAGAATGCCTTAGTTCTTGTGGGGGATGGCTATCTTTTCCTTAAAGGAGAGTATGGGACTATGGCACTGTTTTTCTCATTTTGATTTAATTTGTCTACATTTAATGGAGAAGTAAATTATTATACTCTAATACTCTATCATATCATTGGGATTCAGTTTTTTTTTTTTTTTTTTTTTACTAATTTTGAATAATTGGTTGCTGCATTTAGGATTTGCAACCTATAAGGAACAATCAATTTGTAATCGCCAGTGTAAGGTTTTATGAATCTTAGTCATCTTTACCCCACCCTTGCCTTGGGCCTGAACCTTTTATGGGGCATCAGGGTTAATAGGTACCAATAGAGTGAATGCGATATAATTAAATTGAGGGCATTGTCTTTTGGCCCTACCTGCTAAAGATGTCAAATTGGGTGTGTGGATTGTTGGATCGGGTTTGGGTTATGCTATGCTGGTTTGTCAGTGCTGATTGAATTATGATTCAGGTCACTCTGGGTTGGTTGGGATGTTCTTGGGTTGGGTTTACAGCCTGGTGATCCTACATTGGACTTCTATCCTGATTTGTTGGAAATTTGTAATTTTGCAGGCTAAGCCAGCTTGTCTGAGTGCATATGCTAAGGTAGTAGGCAGTGGAAGTTTCCAGATACCATCAGCAACCCAAAGTAAATCTTACAATATGGCTCAGTTGCACCTGCAGGAAGGTCATTTGCGATTTATTCCTGGGTTGACTGGGGGTCTAGATCAAAAGGTATGCTTTCTGCTGAAGATATCATTGAATGATATTAGAGTATAATATAATTATTCCAAGTAATTGTTAGAAGTTTATGGGAGGATGTAACTAGTTCAGGCCTTCTGGCTGTTGATCATGGTCTCTGTTTTGTTTGGAGAATTTTTGCTGATGAACCATCAAAATAAAATTCCAATGAACTATAGTAATAGATTTGATTTTGAGCTGTGGTGTCCGCACTTGATACAATTTTAAATTCTAACTTTATTGTTGAATGATTGTCATGCGAGAAGAATCTTCTGGTTTGTATAAACTTTGTTCTTTTGCTTGTAGTATCTGTATTATGATTCATTAGAATTGGAAGTTCATCTAATTTCGCACTCAGTTTTGTTCAGTATCTGTGCTTTATTATATTGTGTAGTAAACACACACACACCTTGACTGCTTATGTTTGTTTTCTTTTTACCCTTTACATATGCAATGAGATAGAAGTCATTTAGTTTTCTTCCTGTAACTTTCAAAAGTTTTTTCTTCCCCTCTTTAGTTATTTGCTGCTGTTTATCAACCTTTCAGGAAACAAACTGAGGATGCATGTTACTAATAGTTTTTAATGTAATAATATTAGAAAACTGTGCAGAAACATTTTGAGATATTGATATCCATTTATCTCAACCATAGATTTGTATGACAGAATATGATTATGGTTTTTGGAATATTTGGTCATGTAGTGAGATTTTGTGCTCGCCTTCTTAGCCTTTTTCAGCCAGATCAACTGCGTGTTTTGATTTTATTTTTTTTAATTTTATTTTTTTTAATTTCTTCTACAGGTGTTTGGTCAGAGTTGCTCAGAAAGTCTGCCTTCTTGGCCACATCCCACAACAGAATCAGTGGGTTTAAATGGAAATATGCCATCTTTAAACAATTCTGGAATCAGTTGTCAAGAAACTGCATCCAATGTGGCAGAAATTGTTGAAGTATCTAAAGATAAGGCACAAAAAATGGTAGATACTGCTACAAAGGTACAGAATGGACCTGAAATTGCTGTAGTTTCATATGCCACCTTACTCTCTTTTGTAGTGGTTTTTTTTGGTCATATAACAGTCTAAGATTAACTGAGTAAGGATTCCCACTTGATTTTTATTTTTTTGGATTTTAAGAGAAATGATTCTAGTAGCTAGTAAGAAGAAGGTGCTTTTCCCCATTTTTCATGGCCCCATATCAATCTTCGCTGTTGCTTCCTGTGTGATCCAAAATTATTGTGGTCTAAAGGCATTGAAACATCAAGATAAGGACTAAGGAGAATCAGAAAGAATATAATAAGAAGATGAACACTTAGATTCATGAGAAAAATTTTTCTCCTCAAACTCTGTTTATTTCTACCTGAGTTCTCATGGGCTGGAACGAAAGTTAAACTTAGCGTGTTGCACCCAGATTCCTGAACGAACTGTTTTAATTTGCATAGATAATTATTCTTATTCCACCCCCCCCCTCTCCTTTATTTCTGCTATGTAAACTGCATGGATATACAGATCACCTTTCATTCCTTGCAATAGTAGTAATAACTATGCAGAATCAAAGATATTACTTATCTAATAGGAGGAAGAAAATGTGGATAAGCATTTGATTGTTTCAGGAATTTTTTTATCTTATAAAGTCCTCTTAGTAACAAAGAGATTTGTATGAAGTTATAATATGAAGTTTTGTTGGTAGACCTGCTGTATTTTTTTTTTTTTTATTGTTCATGGCTAATATACCTCTGCACCACACTATTTTTCACTTTTTGTGGATGTCATAAAATTCAGATTAATTGTTACTACTCTGTTTATTGGGCATCTTCTGCTTTGAAAAAGCGACCTTAGCCTTGTCCCTTTTTTTTTTTTTCGCTGGTTAGCTCATTATCATGACATAGTAATTGGCCTGGGGAGGTTATAGTGGAGAAATCTGACATGAGCATGGTGATTACCATTGTGGCAAAGATCAACTTGCATACTGTTCATGGTGACTAGCAGTTAATAAAATACTCTTGATTATTATTTCAGGCTATATCTAGTATTGAAGAAGGTGAAGATGCATTTGGAAGAATTAGGAAGGCTTTGGATGCCAGTGGCAAAAGTGAGCGTGTAACTAATTGCAGGGCGTCTATGATACCATCTTCAAATGCAGTTCGAGGAAGTTTGCCTCATCAGAACCCACTTACTTCCTGTGCTTCTGAGGCCCCTCTGTCATGTGATGCTTTTACTGAGCAACCAACTGATCATTCTGTGTCAAATGATCTTCAGATCCCTTCTGACCTTATTACATCATGTGTTGCTACTTGGCTTATGATACAGGTATTTTTCAATAATTATGAAACTATGTTGTTTTGTTTGGTTCGCGATTGTTCTATGATTTGCTGTCTCACCACTTGCTCGAAATGGATCATCCCAGTATTGCTATTAAATTTTTTTTTTTTTTTTACTTCTTACTTCAGAAGGTAAATCATACTTTAAAAATTGTTTTCGATTCTAGTACCAACCCCTGTTTCCATGTCTTATTTGGACTTACTGCCCCTATCTGGCAACAATTTTTTTTTTTCTCAAGAGACTATTTAACTATTTTGTAGTGGTTGTTGCCTGGCCTTTTTACTTTCTGTATTCTGGTGGAATTCAGGCTGTCTTTATGGCTGGAGGGGTACTTGTTGATTTTATAAAACTTGAACTGAATCATTTTGCAAAATATCGATGCTGTTGCTAATTGTTTACCATTGGGAGGGGGGGGGGGGGGGTCCATGAATTTTAATCCTTGAAAGGATCACCATCTTGATTGAAATTTTGTTACCTAACATAAATTGTGTGGTTTAAATGTTTCTTCGTCCTCTAGTTAATTTTTGCTGCTTTATGATTTCTGCATGTTGTAAGTTAAATGTCTATGATACGTTATTTCATTGTACATCACTGACCATTTTTTTTTTAACAACTTGCAGACTTGCACTGAGCGACAATATCCACCTGCAGAGGTCGCGCAGATATTAGATGATGCTGTGACAGGTTTGCATCCATGCTGCCCGCAAAACCTCTCAATTTACAGGGAGATACAAATGTGCATGGGAAGAATTAAGACCCAGATATTAGCTCTTGTACCAACATAACAGTATATATCTGCACCTATTTCTTCAGGTGGGCTTGTACATAAAAACCATGAGATATCCTCTATAATTTTTGTAGTTTGCTAACCCTAAGATAGATTATTCAAAGTAGATATTTACCGATTCATATGACTAGGAATGATAGGAAGGAATTTTCCGCCGGACCAACTATTGTGATGTAAAAATTATTTATGGATGGGTTCCTTCACAATAATAAATCGATGTGAATCTAATTTCACAGCTTGGATTTTGTATCTTGGATGATCTAGGCGTTTTGTGAAATTTTCAGAGTTATCTGAGATGTTCTCAGAAGCTTGAGGTCTTCAAATATTTTGGGATTGCTTTTAAAATCTAACCTTGTTTACCTTCATTGAATACTTTCATCTTGATCTATATAAGTATACTTCAGAACTTCTACGCTCCATCATACATTAATACTGAATAATTCAGAATAATCCAGAAGCAATATTGCCAAAATTTAGGAAAGAATAGAACTTGAGCTACAAGAAATACCAAAAACTAATTCAATCCTTAAAATCCAAGGGAATTACGCCGACTAAAAAACCTTGTAAAGACCCCATCACTTTCATTATTTTAGTCCACAACTTTTTTATTTCTCTCCTTAATTTCTCTCCTTACACTCTCCTATTATTAGTCCATCAACCAACCTTCGTAACAACAACAATGTCTACTACCTCTACACCATCAATTGAGTCTTCCTCTCCCAAATCAACCCCGGCCGACACGAATTGTTACCCTCCTAGCCAAGAAAGTCGAAGCACGTATGCGTACCCTGATTACGATTGGATTCCGGTACTCGACTTACCACCTTCAAACCAAACTCAAGAAAACTCTAACGTCAACCAAACTCAATATTTGCCTCAACAGTATTACTCGAGTTATGTCTACCAAGTTCAACCGTCGCCTACTGCTGTTTTAGCTTCACAACTCTACGTCCTTCAACCCGCTCCTACCATGACGTTTATTCCTCGAGTTGAGTACTCGTACTGCTGCTGCTGTGGCGTGCCAAGGATGGTATCCATGACTTGAGATTAAAGACTTGTCCTCGATTTAATTGATTTGATTATGTACGTACGTTAGATGATATTATTGTTACAAACTAGTTTCTTGTATTATGGTTTTAATAAGTTACGTATGTAGTAGTACTATTATAAGTAATTCAAGATTGATTTGATCTTGATGTTTAATTTTATGTACGCTTGATTATGTTTCATAAATATATATTGGTATGATTTAATTTTATTTTGGAACAAATTCAAGTGGAGTCTTTAGTATTTGGGGTATGTATAATGTTAAACATGCATATTCAAACTTGAAATTTACAAGTATTGACCATCTTGAAATAATATTTGTGATAGTGATTATAATTTTAATAAGTAATTAATGCATCTATCATTCCATTGATAATTTATCTCATCAATTGAATAGTTCCATCAGCGGCTTATCTGAATTAAGTAAAAAAATTTAATGGTTTTTTGGTTTTTTTTTTTTTTTTTTTTTGATATGTAAATTATTAATTATTTGGTCCCTCTTTAAAAAAAATCAAAATGAAAATAGCATCCCGAATTAATACTCTACAATCATAGAACTTTTTTTTTGTTTGATAGGAATAGCAATTTCATTAATAATTAATCATAAGACATTTAATAATCCACTGTCTTATAGAGTTGATGACAAGACCTAAACCCATTTATTAAATAAAAGTCACAAAAAATATTAGTGTGGAAAAACTTCTCCTCTCTCCTCCTTCTTCTCTCCAAAACCCTAATCCTAGTTTGTTTTAAAGTTTATTTAGGTTTTATAATAATGCTCTCTTCTTTTAGGAAGAACTTTTCTCCCTCGAAAGAAAGAATTTCCGATCTATTTCAAAAGACAAGGATTTTTCAACCTCCTTCGAAAGACAAGGTTCTCTCCAGCCTTTTTTTGGGGAGAAATTTCTTAATTTTGAATCCATGATATTAGATCTAATGGATTGTCAAATTATATTGTTGGTGAAAAAGTTATCAAGTTTTCGAATGCACACAGATGAATCAGAAGAAAAACATCCTCACGCCTACAAAGGATTGTTAGATTGCCTCTCCAACAAGGCTGTATTTTCCAGCGATATAAGCGGGAGATGTTCCACAGTGCAAGATCTACTCGACGATTGTAGTTTTTATGAAGGAAAATTTTATTTGATTCAATATCTTATGTATTTGTTAACGTCAAATCTAGATTGTAGATGTCGTATGACTTTTAATTAATGAAATATTTTTGCTATTAAAAAAAAAAATCTCAATAAATGGTGATAACAAAATAAACTGAAGTATTTGTAATAAAAAAAAAAAAGATCTTATTATTATTATTTTTTTTTTAGACAACGGCTATAAAGAAGAAAAACACAAAAAATTAGAGATCTTATTTTGTATTGTTTGATTTGTGTCTGTAAACTTATGATACAATTGCGTCAACAAAACTGTACATTCTAGAATTCCTTAACTAACATTATTGCGTAGATTTACTAACAACAAATTATTTTTTTTAACTGATTTGAATATGTTAACAATGTATACTAACAACAAATTATTGCGTAGATTTACTAGAATACAACTAGCCAAAAATTAAAACGTAGCATAAAAAAAACGCAAAGGCAATGGCATATAAACTTAACTATAAAAATTAAACAAACTGCTAATTTCCCTTAGGAGAACTATCAGTACTTACTAAAATATGTGACTACCACATTTATTTTATTCTAAAGTTCCTAATGACTATTATTGCGTTGTATAAAAACATAATAATAATAGAGTAAAACTATTGTAGGCTAATTACGTATTAATAATTAACTTCTCATGCGCTAGGAGGAGATGCAGCACCACCGGAACATGCTTCGTTATAAATGCTCTTGATTAAGGGACTTGGGTCGTTTTCGAGTAACGAACAACATTCATCACTCAATGAGCCTTGAGGATGATTAATAAGATAATTTCCGACTTCATTCTTGCAATCAATGCCAGCAGGCAATGGAGGCAACGGTGGCAAATCGGCCAATGGTGGCAATGCCCCCATCCATCGGGGGAACATGCGGCGGGGGTGAGGTGGCTTAAGGTGAGGGTGAGGGAGCGGGTGTGGGTGTAGGCGCGGGTGTAGGAACGCCTCCGGTTGCGCTTCTTGGGCATAGGTTCCTCCTATGAAAAGAGCTAGTAAACCAATGAATATGATTGTCTTCATGTTTTTGTAGGGTTTTTTATTTTGTGTTTTGGCTTGCCTTTTCTCAATAATACACAACAGGATTTGAAGGTTGATTTGTGTGATTTTAAAGCTGAGGTATAAAGGGGTTTATATAGTATGTTAAGCAGTGATTTTATAAACTTAATTAGGATTCTACAGATTGGTATTATTAAGTAATACAATAAGATAAATTTTTAAGAGTTTGTATTCTATTCAAACTCTAACTCTAATATTGCATACATGCGTTTAAAATACTTGTAAATCCTTTAGGGCCTGTTCATATTTGCTGAACTGAACTGATTGGAGCTGAACTGAACTGAACTGAAAAATTAAAATGCATAAACTGAACTGATTAGAGCTGAACTGAACTGATTGGAGCTGAACTGAACTGATTGGAGCTGAACTGAACTGAACTGAAAATAAGTAAATATGAACAGGCCCTTAGACTCCAGTATTTCATGGTACAATAATATTTTTGTTTCATGTACAAAACTAGATTTTTTATCCTTATAAAATATCAATCTTTTTTTTTTGAAGACAAATATCAATCAATTAAGATAAGATATTTAGCTTTTTTTTTAAGAGACCAATCAAGATATTTATTTATTTTTAATTTATTTTTTTATTTTTAGAAATCAATCAAGATATTTATCTTTTTTTTTTTTTAAGAGATCGGTCAAGATATTTAGCTTTAGTGATTAATTTAGAAACACAAAAATATTCTTATTCATTGCTTCACCAAAAAAAAAAAAAAATCTTAATCATGGAGGAAATAAAAAACCTATTGTGTGATTTGTGTCCATAGATTTTTAATTATTTCCTTTAATTATTGTTTTTTTAAAAAAAAAATAAGTACGGATAGTTGTATAATTTTAATTATAGTTACTGTTCCCCTCGAAAAAAGAAAAAAAAAATAGTTTCTGTAATGATAAAATGAAGATAATGTTTCCTCTCAAAAAAAAAATGAAGATAATAATATTTTTGGAAAATATTTTGTCCCAACAAATTACATAATCCATAACAATAATTACCACTAATAGCAGAATAATCCAGAAGCAATAATGCCAAAATTTAGGAAAGAATAGAACTTGATCGAGCTACAAGACATACCAAAAACAAAAAACCTATATAAACCCCCTCAAGATCACTTTCATTATTTTTGTCCACAATTTTAACTCCTCAATTTCTTGCCTTAAACTCTCCTTCATTAAAACATAAGCCAACAAACGTAACAACAACTAACAATGTCTACCTCTACACCATCAATGGAGTCTTCCTCTCCTAAATCAACCCCGACCGACACGAATTGTTACCGTCCTAACCAAGAAAATCGAAGTACGTATGCGTACCCTGACTACGATTGGATTCCTGTACTCGACTTACCACCTTCAAATTCCAATAATAATTTCAACCAAAGTCAAAGTCAAAGTCAATATTATTCAAGTAGTGTTTACCAAGTTCAACCGTCGCCTAATGCTGTTTTGGCATCACAACTCTACGACCTACAGCCCGCTCCTGCTATGATGTATGTTCCACAAGTTGAGTACTGCTGTTGCTGTGACGTGTCAAGGATGGTATTCAAGACTTGGGATCAAAGAGTTACATGTCCTCGATTTAATTAATTGGATTATGTACGTTAGATGATATTGTTACAACTTATTTCCTTTTTTTATGTTACGTAGGTAATACTAAATACTATATAAATAATTCAAGATCGATGCATGTGATCTTGATCTTTTATGTCCATTTGATTTTTAAAATTCATAAATATAAATGTAATATTTCCTTTGGAACAAGTTCACGTGGAGTTCTTAATATATAAATATATATATAATCGTTACTTAATATTGATTTTTGTTAAAAGTTTTTTTTTTTTTTTTTTTTTTTTGAGTGATGGTACAAGTATATAATGTTAAGGGCTTAGCATATACGCATATCCCTGTCCCAAAAAAAAAAGTATATTATTTTGTGCTAGTTTAATTTGGTTATCCTGAAATATTATTTGTGCTAGTTATTATTTTGAAAAGTTATTAATGCATCATTCTATTGGTAATCTAGCTCAATTGAATAGTTCCGTATTTCAGCTTATATGAATTAATTTATTAAAAAAAAAAAAACTATACATAGCTTTTTTTTTTTTAAAATAAAAAAAAGGGTAAGAAGAGGGACCCAAGTCGTACCTCAATCCACATGGTTTTTTGGTCCGATACTTGCGGGTCAGATACTTTAGGAGAGCGAGGAGGAAGGGTAAGGAATCCCCAACCTCAAAGTGTCTCTAGTGGATGGGAATTAAACCCCTAACCTAAAGGTTGAAAGGTATACATAGCCCTTAGGTGTGACTAATATGAAGTTGGTATCCATTATTGACACACGTAAGTTTGTTGACTATGCTTGCTTATTTTAAGAAAAATGGTATACATAGCCCTTAGGGCTACATATAAGCATTAAATTTACACTTGAAAATCGTAAAAAGTTAGCAAATCATGAAAATATAAACACTAATAACACTGATTTATGCGTGTTTTTGTCATAAATTCCTAATTTTATACAATTTTCAAGAATATATTTAATGCTTATATATAGCTTTTATAACATTACCCTTATTTTAAAGCACTTAATATTATTACAAAGTTACAATTCCTCAAATACTTATTTATTATTATAATAATTTTCCATGTAAACAAGTGCAACGAGTAAACTAACAGTAGTTACAGTACAATCTATATCATTATGCATTTATAGCAAACAAATAAATGAATACAAGATTAAATTAGTTATTTTATAAAACCACTTATAAAATTAACATTTTTTTTCCTCATTTTATCTTCTGTTATTGCAATAGTAGCTCATAAGCTTAATTTAGAAGTAGGGACGCTCAATGACTTCCAGGTATAGGGATATAACTTCTACTACTCGAGGATGATGGCCTTGAAGGTCGATTTTTAGGCTTGACATCCGATATCACAAGAGTAGCCTCCTCTTGTTTCCATTTGTTTTCCACAACGTTACTGTCAACGTTGTGGTTTAGCAACCTACCGTTTACAGACTCCATAAGAAAGATAAAGCTCAGAAACAAAATCAAGATCATCAACGATTTAATGATCTTATTATAAGTAAGACTCATTTTTTGAAGCTTGGTTTGTAATAATATAATGTAGGCTTGTTATGTATTTTGTATATGTATGAGATTATGTAACAAAAAGCATAAGAGATTTATTTAATACATGCATAGGTTACATGTATTTATATATGCATGGTTTCAACTAACTTGTACGTAGGGTAAAGAGGAGGTCGATCTTTGATTTTGAATATCTTGTATTTTGATTTTTTCAATGCATATGGTAAATGAAGAAGAATTGAAATATTGAATAGAATATATAAGATATTGAATTTTTGTCATGAAAATGTGATAGTCCAATGAAGTAAATTACATGCAAAGCCAAAAAACCAAAAATCGGAAAACCATAAAATTGGTTTTTACAAATCTATTGCTAGTTTTAATTATCATGATTTTAATAAGTTTGACCAATTTTGATTCTCACATAATCTGCTTGGCTGGTCATTGTAACATAATGTGCTTGGTTTGACCAATGAAGTACTAAAACTTTAATGTTTCTCACATAATCTGCTTGGCTTGTCATTCTAACAATGCTTATAACATAGGAAAATGTTTCGCAAAACTTGTAACAAGGAAAAGAATATCAAACATAGCTAACATCAAGGTTTTGAGAGAGGCGGAAGGCGCGGTGGGGGAATCCCCCCCTTGTACTTTTTTTTGGGTGTAGTGACTGTAGCCTAAGGTCATCTATCATTCATTTACACTCTGCAGGCAGATACACATACACAGATTATCAGGTGTATGTTGGAGCTTGAAACCGCCGAGTAATTTATCAACCCGAAGTGTGACATATGAACACAAGGATCTTGTGCACGGTGCACTCCGTATTTTTATTCTTAGTTATGCTATCACATTTGCTCACATGCGCCCATAAGCATGCTACAAATCTGCAATAGATGAGGAATCCCTCACTTCTGTTTTTCTTCCTTTATGTCGAACAGAGAGCAGTTCCAGCCAAGCTTACAATTTCCAGAACTCCATGATGTAACTACCTTGTATTCAGACATGATGAATATATGAAAGCATTAATTTTTCTGTCAGAACTGAATAATTATCAACCTGATATATCAAAAAACCATGGATTATAGTATCAAATTCAAGATACTGAGAGAGCCAACAACAGAGATGATCCATGTACACTCAGGGTTATCATCTTGCATTTCTCCGTGGCCTGGAGGGTCTATCATGATCTGACCAATCGTTATCTGACTCATTAGACCTCTGTCTTCCATGTCCTGCAGATGTTTTAGACCTCTGTCTCCCGCTCACACGTCCATTATCAAATGAGCCCCTCTGACTATCACGTCCCCTCATTCTTGAATCCCCACGTTTATTATCAAATGAATCCCTCCAACTACCACCAGGGCCTCCCCTCATACTCAAACCCCCACGTTCACTGTCAAACGAACCCCTCCGTCCACCACGAGAGCTTCCCCTCATACTCGAACCCCCACGTCCACTGTCAAACGAATCCCTCTGTCTACCACGAGAGCCTCTCCTCATACTGGAACCCCCATGTTCACTGTCAAACGAATCCCTCTGTCTACCACGAGAGCCTCCCCTCGTACTCGAACCTCCATGTTCATCATCAAATGAATCCCTCTGTCTACGAGAGCCTCCCCTCATACTTGAACTCTCAAACGAATCCCTTTGTCTACCACGGAATCCTCCCCTCATACTCGAATTCCCACGTACATTTTCAATTGAGTCCCTGTGACTACCAAGAGAGCCTCGAGAAGATCTACCATAGTCATGATCAAAGTCATTGCCCTTTACAAAACTTCCATTAAACCCACTACGGTTTCTGGTTTGGTTATAATTCTCACCGTGTTCAAGGCCGCTCTCATCAGAGTCATAATGGCTCTCCCTACGCCGTCTAGATGAGAATCTTTCTTCAATATCATCATCGCTCCCAAAAGCAAGCTTATCATCATCTTCATCAGAGTCAAAACTCATTCTTTTTGATGAGTTACGTGAAGCTTTATTTCTACGACCAGAATCAGCAACGTGACTTGATTTCCACTTAGGGTGAACTGGAAGGTCCTTTTCTGAATCAAAATCTATATCATCATCCCCTGAATCAGATACAGAACCTTGTTGATTGAAAGACTTGGAATAGGGACTAGATCTTGGTCTGCTAAATCCTGGAATGTCATCTTCTTCAGCGTCGGAATAACCTTCATTTTCCACATCAGAAAAGCGAAGAGGCGAAGCTTCCTGGTTCTGATTTCTGTTTTGATTATCTACTTCATAGCTATCAATGTCATCGTCCTCATCGTCAAAATCATCAAAGCCAGTACTGTGTTTTGCTTGTACAGGCATTGGAGGCTCTTTCTCCTGAAACCTTGGGGTTCTGCTGAACCCATATTGGTTGTCCTGAGGCCTATTGAAGTTACCATTTTCCGGTGGATTATCCAGATGATGATCTTCATTCATTGCACGAGCATCTGCATACTCAAAAGCTGCAACATCTGCTCCATCTGATTCATCATCATCAAAGTCAAAGTTCCAGGCATTGGAAAGTTGTTCCCTATCCGGAGCCCTTTCCATTCTTGTAACTGGTCTCTGCGGCCTGCTTTGCATCTGATTCTCCATGTATTCATCAGGTGGCCGCTTATGTTCGCAGTTGAAACAAGTCATATTTCTTCTGTAGTTCAGAAAGTTGCATCTGCCAACAGATAGTTGTAGTTTACACAACAATGTCAGAGAACTAATAAACATACATTCAAAGGGATCAAGGAATAAGAAGACAAAGGTACAATTCCGAGAAGAAGATTGACTACTCTTCTGAGAATCAGATCACAAATTTTCAATGAACAAATATACAGATTGTAGATGCTGTAGTTGGTGTTCCTTAACAAGTAAAATTGAGAGTTGTTAACCAAGAACTGATGTAGAGTTTGTAGACATCTATTTACAGGATATTCCATTATTCTTTCTGTCTAATGTTCAATAACATTGAGTGTTTTTTTTTTCTTCTTTTTGAGGGGAGGGGGGGGGGTATTATAGAGAATTCTTGGCCTGGGTCTCTAACACCATAAATTTGACTTTAATTTATAAATCTCTAAAGAACTACAGGGCCTCTAACATTGGAGGAGAGGAGGAGACTAAACTGAGGACAACCTGGAGGATGGATACAGAACATGATAAAGTAATTGCTTGTCTCATTAGCTTGAGGCAGATTACTTCATGGGAGTAAAGGGGGAGAAAAAGAATTAAAATCAATAGCAATAAATCCATGTCACTATACTAGAAGTCATCAAATATAGGATCCAAAAAGCCAATATAGGGAAGGAACTCACTGAGGGCATTCCCATTCTCCTGGCAGCAGCTGCCGCTTGGGACGTTTCGCATCACATTGCAGGCAAACATTATTCTTTGCAAAATTCATGAAATTGCACCTGCAGTCAGTAACTACCAGAATTAACAGATCAAAAGAGAAGGAAAAAAAAATATGGTAACAAACAATATACATTGTTGAGGATGCTAAGTCTATCACAACAAAATCTCAGATTCCCCTTTACAAGATGGGAAATTCAAGCAATTCTAAAAACTATCTGTAAATTACTGTGTCATGCAGCCAAAAACATAGCAGACAAATAGCCAAATTATTCATCATTTACCTCAGAAAAGTCCAATACCCATTTTTAACCCCAAGCCTCATCATTTTTGAGCCATACCTTTTTTCTCACATGCACTTTGACCAAACCAACCAACAAACAAATCATTATCTAAGAAATTCTACTCCTGTTGCTGTAAGAACAACTTATATACACCTACTGACCTACACCTCCATTCCAGAAAATTCAACGCATTCATCAAACACTTTGTTCCAGGAAAGTCTGGAATAATGAGTGGGTGTAATAAAAAGGTGGACAAACTAAGAGAGATAAATAGATGGTGGGTGGGTTTAAGAAAAAAGTGGATAAAATAACACAGTGGGCCAGTGTGGGGAAAAGGTGTGCTGAGAACTGATGCATGAATAGTGTAAAATCTCAAGTGATGCATTTAAAAACAAAAACAGAGGGAGAATATAGTGTGGAGTAAGAAGGGGTAGGGTAGTAATAGTGGCTTGCCAAAATAAAATAGGAAAAATAATCCCAACTTTCATCAATTTTGGTAGAATAATCCCAACTTTGGATTATTCTAGAATAATCCGAATTTTGGGGGGTCTTCATTTTCTTCAGTCCTAATGACTGGTTACCTGTTGAGAAGGTTAATTTTTTTTTTATGTTTTTTAAAAGCCACGTGTCAGCTTGTCATTGGTCCAAAAAAATAAAATAAATTAAAAACAAAAAAAACCCCCCAAACCACCCGTTCCCCACCTAAACCACCCCCTCCCACCAGCCCCCACCCCGAAATTACCCCCACCCTGCCGGAAAAACTCCCCTTACCCCCCGACCACCACTCCCCACCGCCGAAACACCTCCTCCTCCCTTCCCCACCCACGAAACCCTCTCCCCTCCCCTTCCCCCACCCCGTAAACCCCCTCCCTTCCCCCACCCCGTAAAAACTCCCCTCCCCTTCCCCCACCCTCGAAAACGGCCGGAAAATAAGCCCTCTTGCCGTTTCCGGCCGTTTTCGAGGGTGGGGGAAGGGGGTAGTTTTTACGGGGTGGGGGAAGGAGGGGAGGGTTTTACAGGGGTGGGGGAATGGAGGGGGGAGGGTTTCGTGGGTGGGGGAAGGGAGGGGGAGGTGTTTCGGTGGGTGGGGAATGGTGGTCGGGGGGTGGGGGAGTTTTCCGGCTGAGTGGGGGGTAATTTCGAGCTGGGGGCTGGGGGAAGGGCTGGTGGAAGGGGTGGTTTAGGTGGGGGAACCTGGTGGTTTGGGGGGGATTTTTTTTTTTTTTCTGATTTCTGTTTTTTTTTTTTAATTTATTTTTTTGGACCAATTTCAAGCTGACACGTGTCATGTGACCTCTTATTAAAGGTTGTTGACTCTCGTTGACCGGTTTGGGACTGAAGAAAATGAAGACCCCCTAAAGTTCGGATTATTCCAGAATAATCCAAAGTTGGGATTATTCTACCAAAATTGATGAAAGTTGGGATTATTTTTTCTAATTTTTCCAATAAAATAAAGTGAAGGCGAGTCGAACTTTTTGAAACACCCAAACTGGAAAGTGAGTATATAGAGCAATTCCCAAATATCAAAGGAAAATTGATATAAGAGCAAGGGTCTACTTTTTGAAGACCACATTCCTAAAAAATAAATCATGGTAGGATCTAGGATGTAGAATCATCAAAAGTGACAGTAAGCTTCACAAGTTCAAGACACAAGGATAGATAATGATATATAAACTGATACAAACATAAAATGCGAGTAAACAAAACCCCTTTAACACACAGAACATAATCAAGCAATAAAGAATTCAATCTATATGTGAAGAGAGACATACTTTGGACATAACCAGTCCCCCTTTTTCATCTCAATGTCATCACGTCCCACTCGTCTCTTGGGTGGAGGTGGTGGCTGCTTCACCTTCGGTGGGCGCTTCTTGATCACTGGAGGAGGGAGATTGGGATCTATTGGCACTGCACTTAACCTGACAACCTCATGAAGCAATTTCCGGACTACTGCTTTCACAGATTTGTGCTTCAACAAAGATTTGTTTTCAACTGATCCATTTATAGGATCAAAGCCATAAGTTAATAAGACACGCATCACATCAATCGTCCTTGCCTCATCTTCCTTATTTGTAACCAAATACGCCCTTTCACATTTGGTTCTCAAATTGCAGGAACTGCAAACCTGAATGCACACAAAAACCATTGATATAAACACACTATAGAGACAAAAAGCACAAAAAATTATTGAATTACATATTCTTGTTCTCATCAAGCTTGAGTTTGATGGTGAAAGCACATAGTAAACTCCAAAAAATGGCATTTTGCAAGCCTCTCAGCTTGTAAGACAAACAAAATCAATATTGTCAAGGCCTCAAGGGATCAAAGAAATACATTAAGATCCCTGTTAAAACTTGCAACAGTAGGGTTTGGGGAGGGTAAAATACTAACATTTACACAGTTTAAGTATCAAGTAATGTAACTTTAAACCTGTACCCAATCAGGCAATCACAAGTTGAATGAAAGAAAAAGACATCAACCCTGGATAAAAACTTCAACTGTAAACCTCCCAAAGGTGTATATGAGAAACAGAGAGGTAACTGCAAAACTCCCAAAGCAGTCAATTCATTGAACGGAGAGCTATGACTTAGCTACAAGTGAAGCAACACTTACATCTCCTTCATCAAGATGAGCATGTTTCCTCAACAGTTTTGCAGAAAAAACCACCTTTTTGTCTGCACTGGGACATCCAAACCCGACAAATGATTGAATATCCTGTCTCGACAACGACCTGAAATTAATTCCCAGTTTAAAAAGAATAAAATGACTCAAGGGAGAAGTCCATAATATTACTATATAAAACAAACTACCAGCTAAGACCCATTGCAAGATCATAATGGATAATTTAAAAAAAATGACCAAAAGAACAATACAAGAAAATCTGTGACCAAAATCTACACAAGAAGACAAATACTGAGAAGGAATATCAGTCTGACATGGAAGAAATAGGGTCTGAATTCTAAAAATAAAACTGACGCCAGCATGGAGCAATAAAACTTGATTCACCTCCCAAAAATGTAAAGTTTCAAGGGGATGCAATGTTGTCACATTGTCACCTTATACTCACCAAAAATAACTAGTACATTAACTATGTGAAAACTGACGCCTAATCTAATCAACCAACTCTCTAAAACAAATGAAACTCATTAATAGAATCAAAACCATTTCCAGCAATCAACTAACTACAAAGACTAACCCTCTAAGTTCCTACTCAGCAAAACAATGGACAAAAATGCAAGTTCCTACTATTCTAAATTTCATTCTTCATTTCTAATTTTCTATTATAACCAAAAAAATCATAGGAAATCAAACAAGCAATTAAATCAAAACATTTCCTCTCTATAAGTTATTGGGTGGGGAAGGGAGGTTGATAAGATGATCAAGAACAAGTAGAGCAATGAACAACTACCTCAAAATATCGAACCGATCTTTCCCAAAATTAACAATTGCAGCATGAACAGTCCTCCAATCCCTAGTAAAATCAAACCCCTCTTCTTCAGCAAACCCAGAAACATCAACCGAACCCAAACACTCAATCATTTGATCCTCATCTTTCCTCCTATGATCAAAGTAATTCTGCTGCACCAATCTCTCCATCAACGCAACCCATTCCGGCCACGGGTGCGCCAATTCAATCTCTTTCTTCATCAATCCCGCCTTCTTCACCTCCTCCACCCTTCCACTCTCCGCAACATCAAAACCCCTCATTTCTTCACCCCCATTAGCACCGGAATCACTAAACCCTAACCCTAATTTCTCATTTCCGGCATCATTCACACCACCACCACCATCATCAGATTGCTTGAGCTTCTTCTTGGATTCCCGCCAAGCTCGAATTCGTTGAAGGGCATCATCTTTCTCACCGCGCTCCTTCTCGATTTCGTCGATTTTGTCGAAGACGAAGCTTAACCGGGAAGTAAGAGAGGAGGGTTTTGGTGGGTCCGAGGAAGTGGTAGTAGTGTTGGAGTGAGAGAAGTGTCGGATGAGAGGAGAGAGAAAATGACGGCGGTGATAATGGTGGTGGTGGCGGAGGAGGAGAGAGAAAGAAGAAGGCGTCATTAATGGAGGAAGAAGAGTTGTTAGAGGTGAGTAGAAGCTGTAAAACCCTCCATAAACCCTTGACTTTCTAAGCTGTAGAAGTGTGAATATTGAATGATTATTATTGGTAGTAGACTTTTGAAGAAGAGGTTCAAGGGATATACTTGGTGACTTGGTGTCTTGTTTAGTTATAATGGGCCTCAGAGGGTGGAGGGTCTTTTGACTCTTTTCCATCCTCTATATTAGCGATTTATGAATTGGTATCCAGATAAGAATGCGTATTTTAGTTTCAAATCAACATATATTTTGTAATTTATGTATGTGATTTGAAAGTTTTAAGATATTATGAACATATTTTTGACCAAAAAACATGTAATGATGATTTGTGTGTTAAATTTATAATGTATGTCATTACTTAAGGTGAGCACAAGACGTGATGCGTAGGCGCATATGTTGGATTAGCGTGTTTTGTGTTCAAATGGGTCGTGCTTAGACTGATCAGGAAATAGTCATTTTGGTCAGGCTTATGCTGATCTTTTAACTCGGAGTCCATGCACGATTTTGTACTTGTGTTGTGTCGTACCAACATGCCTCCTAAATAAATTTTATATTATTGCTAAATTAGTCAAAAATAAACCGGCCAACATTTGGGTGACTTGTTCTCTGCGTGTCGAGTTTTTGCCAAATTTTGCGAATGATGTCCAAGCACGACACATGACCTACCGACGTGCTTTTCATGTCGTGCTAGGCTTTTGACAGTTTGGTGCCAAGTCAAATCATTTTCATGTTATGCCTAACCGGCTTTCGTGCTAGCCCAAACTACCAAATCAGTACATGTCTAGTTTTCTAGTTAATATATCAATTTAGGATAAGGATATGCAATGTGGTTTTAAGATGAACATATAATAAACATTATTAACATGTAATTCAAAAGAATTTCCCAATATTTCACTAGAAATCTTGTTAAAATTTATCTTAATTTATACAAGTTTAATATGCAGATGGTTGACAAAATGACAATTAGAGATATACAGATGGTTAAAATTTTGAAATTATGAATTGGCAAATCTGAAAAGAAAAATGTGTCAACTAAAAAAAATAAAAATAAACATGTATATTAATTAGGTCTTATACATCCTGCTTAGGAGTTAGGAGAGGTCGGTACATGGGGAATTAACCATGTAAACTCACACTTACCCGACTTACCTAGTCAAATATTACATTCTTCAATTTTCTCAGCTAGCCAAATCATGGGATATGCAAGCAGTCTAATTAAAAAATGAATTCGAAGTAAATCAACATAGAAGAGCAATAGATTGAACAAAATATAAACACTTCCACTGTTACATTTACAATGAACAAGAGATACAACAAACAACAGTATATTCCTGGCTTCTAATTCTGTATACACACGAAGAGATGTTCCTACACACTACAGATTAATCTGTACAAATATATGACCATAATATCCATATACATCTGCATCCGTACACTGCATTATACGAGTAGGAAAAAAAAATACGTAGTACATATTCACATTAAGTTGAAGAGGGCAGGAGAAAAAAAAAAAAAAAATTCCCTACCAAAACCTCACCTATCCTATAATCACCTTGCGGTTTCTTTATAGGAAAATGATGAAAACATTCAGAACCACTCCACCATACACTTAGGATAAAAACCTGCTTCAGTAGCAATACCAGAGAAAGCCCGCAGTTCTTTCTGAACTTTCCGCCTCTCATAATATACCGAGCATGCTAGAGAAGTACACTTGACGCCACTTTCCACCAGCCAATCTCCACCACCACAATGCCGACAAATCTATAGAAGGTAAATCACATAATTAGTCATTTCATAGCAGAGAATATCACAAATTTGAGCCCAAATTTAAAGAGCACAACAGCAGTCAAAGGCAGGTTTTGACAAGAAATTCTTCAATATAGGTGAAGGAACAAAGGAACCAATAGATCACCACTCAACTACTTTACTATGATTTACTTCCTCTGTTTCCCTAAAATTGCACTTGCCTAAAATTTTAACTTTCAAAATTCTGCGACATTTCCACTTTTGCACAGTTTTACTAACCTAAACACCACAACTCCTTTACTTTATGGACCGGATACGAGTGGTGCAGATAAGGGTAGATGGGTAATACAGAGTGGATGAAGCTTTCTCTCATCTTTACTTGAAAAAAATGTTGTCATTCTTAGGCGAATGATGAGAGTATATGGCTTTAACATAAGGGAACACGTTAGGTATAAGAAATTGCAAGTGTGTGTGTGTGTGTGAGAGAGAGAGAGAGAGGGGGGGGGGGGGTATGATACTCACAGCAACAAGGTGTTGGATGTCTCTCTCCAATTTTAAAGTTCTTCCAGTCATAGCGGCAACGGTAACAGGGCCCTTCTTGGAACATTTTTCACAAAAATAATTAGCTGTTTGGACAAGTTCTCCGCAGAGTACACAATGTTTTGAGGAATAGTAATAATCAATTCTAGCTCGGAGAGAATTTACAGCACTGAAGTGTTGCTTTGCAGGAGCATCCCTAACAGGCCGTGGCATATCCTGAAACCACTGCCTTAAATCAGCACCTATAAGCCCAAATACCCGCTGTAAAGCTGGTATTATCTGCTTTGTGATGTAATACAAATCATTCAGTCTATAGGGAGACTCCATAGACAAGAGTTCCTGTGGGTCAACAACCATGTCAACCAATCGAGCACCTGGTTCTCCATGGACAACAACATAAAGGATACGCTCAGCATATCGAGGTTCAGCTCTTGGATCAACTCTCATTGCTTTAGAAGCAACAATTGCTGCTGGAGGCAGTGATGATGAAGCCCTTGTGCTGTAAGTCCCCAATCGGACCTCTTTTGCAAAGACAAAATCTTGAATTGAAATCCTTCCTGAAAGGATTCTGGACCATTGGCGCTGAAGATAAGCTTTAAGCTGCAAACAACCAGATAGAGCGCAACACGGTGACATTAATTTTAAAAGGTATAAGTCATGAATGCAATGCTGGTATCATGGGGGAGTAGGTCAGACAGAACACTCAATCATCAAGAGAAATTCCTATCCTTAAAAAATCAGACAGAAAACTTCTCAGTAAAAAAATGTTTTTTAAAATCCTTTCTTCAGAGTAAGCCAGCTTCAAAGTAGCAGACGTGATGTTTAGCAATCTCCTCAATTGAATTTACAGAAAATAACAAGCATTGACTATACATGACTGATACGACCATATTTGTAGAAAGAGTGATCCCAACATTTGCTTCTCATTAAAAATATAGAACACGAAAACATGATCAGAAGTTCAGAACCAATTTCCAATTAAAAAAATGTGACTCCAACTACCCAGTATTTACCTTGGAAATGTCCTGGCATTCAAAAAACATTCTCAACGACTTCTCCAAGGTCTTTGCAACAGCAGGACAAGTGTCTCTACGAACTGTCTCAATACCTTTAGCATCAAACATAGGTGCTGGTTGACTGAGGCTCTCATAACTGTATCCTACATATCGCTTTTTAGTAAGAAGAAAGCAGGACTGGTAGACCTTCTCCATCTTCAATTTGACAGGATTTGGATTCATTGCTGTAATTGTGGAAGCTATCTCATTTCCAATTCGAAAAGCCTCTTTTAAAGTGCGCCCTTTAAGAAGAACAAACATACTGCAAAAAACAAAGCAGTGTTTGCAGGATATATAAACAAAAGTAGAAAGGAATCAGCAATTACCCTCAATTAATAACAGTGAGGAATGCAAAAGCTAAAATAGTAACAACATAACTGAACTGCCAAAAGACAGTACAGTTAGATGTGTAAGAGAAAATTTCCCACATAAGGAAAATTCTTTCACACAGCATGGAAATAAAAGAAGGCATTTATCCAGAAATAGATTGGTTGCCTCGTCGGTAATGCAAAACAGATAGCAAGTCAAGGAAATTTTGAGTAAAGGCATGTGATACTGCCTCGTGTGATATTTTTAATTTCCAGTGTGACTTTTTTTATTTTATTTTATTTTTATTTTTTTTAATAAATTTAAATTTAGTTTTGGAAGGCAGTGTCATCAGGATGTGAAGGTTTGGCTGATCACCACTCCTCCAGTTAATTTTGCATACGTTTGGAGTAGATTGTCAGTGTTCAAGAAGAAGGTTGCTTTGGCTGCTATAACAGATTAGCAGCTGCTCTGTATTAAATGCAGAATGTGAGTAATAAAGCCCTGTAGGAGTTCAAGTTTGCAATGGTTGCTGCAGCTTTCAAGGATGTCAGTAATACTGTCAAGCTCAGAATTCGAGACATTATAGGGAAGATAGTTAAAGTTTTGAAGAGTAGTAGGTTAGATACTTTGCAGTGAGTGTTATTGATGTTGTATGTTTATGGGCTGTCTGCTATTTTTTAGTAGAGTTGAGGGGTTTCAATTCAAGATTTTGTCTGTCTTAAATTCTTCATTTGGACTTCCATAGTTGGACACTGAACACTCTGATAAGGGTATGGAAGTCTTACCCGATACTTCAATGGTCACTCAGACACTTCAATCATATTGAACCACATAATCACAATAATAAAAACTGTATAAATGCTCAAAATAGGTTTCACGATGGGGCCTAGCCCCTCGTTTGCACCAAAAAAAAAGGGGGGGGGGGCTTCAGAATTCAGATAAACATTTCAATAAGATTTAACTATCAAGTCAGGCTAAAATGTATGTATATGTATTTGTACATTGAAATCACGCAGAAAGTTTTCTACAAACATTAAAACATTTCATTTATACAGTGTCCCCACACCACTGTCCTATTTTAGGACATAATTTCTGTGTTTAAATCTAACAAGATACGAAACACACGCTATGTGTGTACTATATAGGAAATTTATTATTTTACTCATTGTTATTGTAGATTGTTTTGAAAATCAATACTTACATAAAATTTTAATTTAAAGGTTTAAATTAAAGATCGAAAAAAAAGTCAATAACACATTTACTCCACTTTTTGTACCTTAACTTTAAAATTTTTTGTTGATTTTTGATTTTTTGTATAAAGATTCAAGACTTTTTTTAAAAAAAAAAAAAACCAATATGAACGTTTTTTTATTTTATTTTTATAGAACTATATTGGTATTAATATTATATGTAACAATAAAAATATATATTAATAAAAAATATGTACAATTATCATTTAACAAAGTTAATTGTGGTTCTTTTCAATAAAAATACTATGTAAAAAATAATGTGGGTAATAATTTTTATTTATTTATTTATTTATGAAAAGTACAGATAATTTTAGTTTGTGGGTAGTTAGAGTCTTTTTTTTTCTTTTTTCTTTTGTGAGTAGTTATGAACTATAGTATATAAGTAATTTTATAAGTTGAGAAGGGAATTTTGGGAAAAGGCAAATTTATCACCCAAAAAGCCCTTTCTCTTTATATAGTACTATAGATTTGATGTGTTACATACTTGACCTGCACCCAAAACTCATACCCATGTCTATGAAAAAAATGACAACTTACGAAACCCAAAGCGTCAGTCAACTACCAACCACCTTCTTTTGCTCTGGGAAGATCCAATTAATATAGTGAGAGAAAAGGTAAGCACAGACAAACACTCAAGGTGGGATATTAAACATTGCCATGTCAAGAATGTTTTTGAAGAAATATTATGTGTAGTACAGTAGTAGTAAGAAATGATTGTTAAGAGGGCATAGACTCTGAATGTAATTTCAAGAGACTTAAAAAAAGAATTTCAAGAGGCTTAAAAAAAGAATTTAAAGCCAACACATTCATATGGTGCATTGTCTGCAGAACATCTGAAAACTATGGTGTGGTTAAAACAAAGATCACTCCACTTTTGAGCTCTCAATTCTCATAAAAAACATAGTTTCAGCCTTCAGGATAGTAAGACCAAATAATATAGATATTTTCACTTACCTGTCAGTATCACCATACAGAACCCTAGCATTCCATTGATCATGTTTGTTGACAAATAAGATAGCATGTTCAAGTGTTTTACGACCACACTGAACAATGCTGTCTGCCAGCTCTGCACAAGGCATGCGACCACTAAATCCAGCAGCTGTGTATCCGTAAGTTACATTAGCAATTAGCTTTAATGCAAGCTGTCTGGCATTAAATATCTGTAATAAAATATGAAAAAAAAAAAAAATCAGCATAATTCTTCTTTCTTACAAACATGTTCATTAAAAGAAAAACAATCCAAACACAACAATTACAACATACTAGCCCAACCCAAATATACATATTATCAGTTCCAGTAAGCTTTGTAGCTAATAAGTATATAGATAGCTTCTGTACAAAGCTACATTCATTCATTGAATTCAATATCAGGCAGCCACAACTTCCATGCTTGATAGTAGAGTTGCAAAGGGTTGCTCAAAGTCAAATAAAGCTGTCAATCAGTTTGAGAATAGTCAATGGATAGGATATGGGATTTGGCCTGATTTTTTATTGAAAAAGGAAACTAATCTAAGGGAATGTTGGTAATTGGTATAATTAATTAAATAAAAGTAAATACCACTCAATTTTGATTAAACACTTCTCAGAGCCACAAGAAATCTTTTCTCACATTTTAAAATACATGCAAAAGGTTTCAAGTCTTGGAAGTAATACCCTCTGAAGAACTTGCTGTGAAGGTGCCAATGACTTCATTGCTTGCTTCACCATAACCCTAGTGGATAAAATTTCTTCCAACAGCCGAGGTAGAATTCCTTTACGCACCTACTTAGAGTGGTACAATGGAGTCACAATAGTAAACAAAGTAAGAAGATAAATAGAGCAAGCAGGGAAAAGTGCATGCACAGAACCTTCCCTCTTCTTTAAAGATAAACGAAAGCATAATAAAGCTATATATAGATACTAGATCAGAATTAGAGGCTACAATTTAAATTGTCATCTTTGGTGGATTACTCATAATGTCTTTTACGAATACATTGTTTACCAGATAACCAGATTTCATAAGCTATAATATGTTAAGGCAAATACAGGACTAAGAATGCCATTAACAACTACAAAAATCCTAAACATTGATAACTGAACTGGACATAAAATAAGCTCTTATACATAACTAGAATTAAGTACAAAATTTATGAAAAACTCATAGGATGATCAGATAACAAGTGATACATAGAATTCCCTACCAACATCTAATAGAAAAAACATCATCTCATTGGAGATTAGGACAAGAACACATGCACCAACAAATTGATGAAAGTTAAACATCATTACTCCGGTAGAATAGGGGAGTAATTATGACCGATTAGTGAACAGTGAAGAAGCGATGGAGACATCGATGATGCAAAAAGTTTAGTGACTGATTATAAACCAGCACCAAACTATGGAAAAAGCCATCTCTAAAAGGATAGGTAATATTGTCTCAAAGAAGTGATGCATAAGAAAGAAGTGAAGCATAAGAAAGAAAGGCAATATGATTATTAAAGATCAAATCAAAATATAGAAGGGTATATCTGTACTTCTTAAACTATACTATAATACTTCCTCTCTTTTTCTACTTGCAACATTTCAATAGTGTAAACTATTAACATACTCAACTTCAATTACATTTCGTGATTTATAATTAAAGATGAACAATCACATAGGATCTTGTTAGATTCATCACAATGTGTACTTCATTAAAATCTAATTCTGAAACAGTAAAAGTAAGTTTTGATCAATAACAATAATTGAAGTTTAGTAAAATTATTTACTACGCAAGTTTGGCAAAAATTATGTAAATTCTATAAAAAAATATAATCTCATTTCAGCAAAAATAAAATTTGAAGAACAAGGCCTGACTATATATATTCTAAAACTCACACTTTGTTCCCCACCATATAGTTTTTCCTAAAACTTTATGTAATTCCAACTGTTGCAATTAATATAATATGGAGGGAGTATGTAAGGAAGTTCAACAGAACAAGTAGGTAACATAATATTAAAATAAGGAGATACATGGAAACTACTAAGGTACAGAGAGGCATGGCATAATAGATCAAAAAAAAAAAAAAATATTTAAATAAATAATTAAATAATTAAGGGAAAAAAAAAAAAAGCAATTCAGAGCAAGCTTGTGTAAAAGAACAAAAAGAATGTTCATGTGCAAAGTGCAGCAGCAATTCAAACTTCAGAAGCAATCCTCTATTCCTCTATATATCATATCCTTTTATGCAAACTGCAGATCTTAAAGCACAGCTCACAAGTCAGTAGAAGATGAAAATTTACCTCAGACGGCACATACATTACACCATTAGGGGTAACCAGTATCTGTTGATTTAAATCCTTCAAAATTTGCAAATCTGGGGAGTATGAGCTGACCCCAAGGCAATCGGCTTTTGATGGGACAACATTGCCAAGGCAGGTAGAAAAGCAAAGGTTGTATGCAATAATCATGGACGGATAGAGTGACTGAAAATCCAAAACAACAACTGGATCTGAGTAGAAACCAGATTCTGGCTCCATTACAAGAGGTATGCACTCCATTGCAGGTTGAGAGGCTACCTAATAATACAAGGTTAAAATATAGGTCAATGCAACACAGACAAGCAGCATGAGCACCGGAAGATAAAAGCGCGAATTGTTTGAGACTTTGAGTACAGTAAGACATATAGTCATAGGTATTACTGTGACATAGGAGGAAGAAAAAAAACAGAAGAAAGAAAGCCAAACCTGTTGATACCCTGGAGAAATAAGAACATAGTTCTGTGTATGAGCCAACCTTACAAGCATGGATTCAACACGATACTGAGAGCCACGAGACAAAACAGAGAAAAAGTCGATTCCAAAAACACGAGCTAGCTCTGATGTGCGGTTTATCTACAGAAGAAGCAAGTCTCAATTGATAGTAAGAAAACAAAGATAGAGCAATTGAAGGGAAAAGGTATGATGTCTCCAAGAATGGTCATAAAATTATAATTAGAATAAAAAAATAAATTACAATGTTATAAGAATGCCGAAAGCCCGAAACCAAAGGGAATAGTTAAATTGCAAATTAAGGGGAATTAAATCACAGTAAACAAGCAAGACAAATCAAATAACACTAAGAGGCAGATGATGCATGGAAAACAAAATGAGACCTTTATGAATAGAGCTACTAAAAGCAGCACTTACCATATCAAGCTGGTTCACAATATCAAAGTTCAACTTTACTCTCTCCACAAAATACTCAATGCAACGGAATCTTGCTTTCCCAGGACCACTTGAGAACCATTTGTTCAATATGTTCCAATGAATCGACGGAACTTTTCGTCTCAAAACAGCTTCTGCCACAGCCTCTAGTGAATACATATTTAATTTAACTTCACTACGCACGAGTCTCCAAACATTGAGGACTATTCTTCCAGTTACATGGACACCGCTTGCATGGGTCCTACCCCATTCATCCTCAATTATAGTATTATCATCGAGAACAGTATCAGACATCAGAGAATCAGAAGATACAGCTGCAGCAGTTTCCTTGTCAGAAGTATCCAGGTCTCTGTTGACTGCCTTTCTTTCTGCTGGTGTACGAGAGATCTTGTTAATCAAGCTAAGACCTAAGTGAGAAGCCCTTTCAGCTAAAAATCCAAGTGAGTTGCCTTGGACGTCCCATCCAATTAAGATATCTGGATCAATTGAGCATGTTATACTTATAAATTTGTCAAGCAAATCCCTCTCTTCAGGATAAACAAGCATCCTGCATTCTGATATTCCATCCAAGTTTCTGCAGCACATAACAGTAGCTATTATTCAGAATCCAATGTAATTGCCACAACTAAAACAAATGAGAAAAAGAAGGCATTTCTTAAAAAGTTCCAGAAACTTTAATGTTTAGCGATAACATAAAAATGTTTTTAAAAAATAAAGGCAAAATAAAAATTTAACAAAGGGCACAACATGAACGAACTTAAAACTTTTAGCATTGATACGGATGATACCTTCCACAACCTTCAGTTGAACCACGCAGAAGTGCATAGATGTCGACAGATGGACTACTATCATTTTGGACTGCTATAACAATAATATTTATACTATCATGCTGTGGATCAGGACGAAGATCTCCCCTGGATTCTGCTTGGACCTGCATCGATATCTACATTCAATCAAAACCATCTCACAAAATATATATATAACTAAGACCACATATCCATGCCAGAAAAAATTTTAAATTTGCCTCACAAATAGAATAATAAAAAAAAAAACAACAAAAAACCACAGCATTACTAACCAAGAAGGTAATGACAGACTCAAGAAACTAGGAAGCTGACAATATTGGTACTTATATACTTTGCAATGACATTATGATATCAAAAATGCATCTGCAACTGCAACTCTGAAAGTAATGCTAGTATAATCACAAAAACACCAGCCTGATGATAAGCACATAATCACAAACATTAGCCTGAGTATGTACTATACCATGACAGCTGAATAGCTGTTAGCACTTATACACTTAACTTTAATATAACAAAGCACAGTTTTTAAGCACCATCATAACATCAACCGTGAATATTGAAAAAAAAAATAATAAAAAAAAAAAAAAAAAAACAACCACACAAGAAACACAGCCACATGAAAACTTATTTTACATACGTCCAAAAGCACAAGCATTACATTCTAATTTCAAGAGCAAATATTAGCTCAGGTTGTATGCCATTGGCCTAAACAGATACTAATTCGGGACAGAGGGAGTACTTCTATTTGACCATATGTTTCCCATAAAAAAGCAGACGCATACAAGCACTACATAGGAGGTGCAAAAGTTCAACATATTAGGTACAATGGGTGACAATTTCATCTTGCATCTGCCAGTCTTCAAGCAATATGGGAAAAATGCCCATCATAGTTTTTTCTAAAAAGAAGTTATTTTGCAGGGATAATTGAGTACCAATGCCAAGTCACTCAGTCAGTCAAGTATTATGGGTCCCATGCATTCCTTGCATGTCAGTCAACAAGCAAAAGACAAGGCAGGCAGATATTTTGAAGGATTGATTGAATTCAATGAACCAAGAATACAAATGTAATTGTAATTCTACCACATCATGACAATAAAAAATATGTTGGATAGATTTTTTTTTTTTTTTTTTTTTGGGGGGGGGGGGGTGGGGACACGAATAAATAACATGTCATCTTACAATTTTGAGGGCACTCCCCTTCAAGAAACATATGCAAGTGGATTCTAGTATACCTCACCTCTATACTCAACAGTGTCAGTTGTTGGCCAGCGCCAACACTGGCAGGGTCTCTAAAGCCGATTTGACTGAGAGGAGTAGACTTTGACTGCCCACTGGGTCCTGAGATCTGAGAGATGTCTTGTGATAACTTTGTCAAATTTTTTTCTTTCAAAGAACTCCCTTTATCAAGGCATGGGGCAAGCTCATCTTTCATTAGAACTCCTTCCATGTCTAAATTTCTATGATTTTCACCATCTAGCTGATTATTCATGGGCTCCAAAAGTGTTAATTCAGAGGAATCATCAGGTAAGGGCTTTGCACGTGTATGTTCTGGAAGATAATTTTTAAGCACAAATCAGTGATGAGCAAAAGATGCTAGAGACCTAAAACTTAGCTGCTAAAACAGCTCGCATCCCTCAAAAGGGCAAATCTTATCATTATGAATTACAAAAAAAAAATCATGTATAAAACTCTTCCAACATAGAATAAGGAAATAAGACATTTGCTAGCTCTACCTTTTTCTTCAAGCGCTAGCCATTTAAAAACAGAATCAACTGATGGAGGTGAAACTGCTGGGGTCAATAAATAAGCATAAGAACCATCATTATAATAATGAGTAGGAACTCCTATGAGAGAATCCTGACAGAAGTCACCAACACCATGTGAATCCTGGGAGACACTTTTATTGGAGTCAGTAAAAAATGGATGAACATCTTCTGGAACTCCACCCTGCACTGCAAGAGAGAGAAAAGCATGAAAGATAAGACAACAATAGTCAATAACATAAGCAAATTAAATCTAAATTAGCATCCTGAAAATAGAGTGTATTCAATGTAACAATGAACATCTTGATGAGGTAGCAGAAGCCAAAAAAAAAAAAAAAAAAAAAAAAAAGGGAAAAAAAAAGGATTATAAAAAAGGAGGTGATGAGCAGAAAAGAAGATCGTAATCTAAGAGAAAAAAAGCTTAACCTTTGCATTAACTTAAGAACAATGACAAAACTTTCTAACAATTAGTTTAGTTTCCAAATGGACAATATACAATAACTAAGAACACATATAAAATAAAATATGAACCTGATGTTCCTTCATCGTCACTGTCATCTTTGACAGAACACCAACGGGAGGGAACAGGTATTGATGATGAATTTTCAGATGTGCCATTTTTCCAGCTAGCTAACGGAGGTTTCTTGTGGAAAGTCATGCTGATATATCCTACGGACTCTGTCTCATCCACGTGGCCAAATGCAAATGGTAGGCTCACAGACGCATGCTGTTCTACAGAGTCAACTTTGACAACTTCTGGATCAGCTACAGATGAGTTTGCAATACCTTGCTTCTCTTTTCCAACAAGACAATCAGTAGCAGATTGTATAACTTCACACACTTTTGTTTGTTTGTCTATCTGCATATGACTAGAAGGAGAAAATTCAGCAGCCATCAAATTTTGTTCTTCTGATGGCTCTGTATGAAATTCCAACTTCCTCGGATAGAATACATTATTTTCCTTTACAAAACCTTCTCCCACACTTTTTTCTGAACTGGATGATCCAACTCGGAAGCTTCGCTTTTTCCTCATCAAGTCTCGTACAGAACCGCTGTGTTGTGTTCTTGAGTCAACTACATAGCAGCCACTACCATCTGCATTCTTAGTTGAAGGATCAGAATGTATATTGGTAGTAAATTGTTGGCCTTCAGAAAAAGGTAGAGGACCAAATTGTAATTTGGACTTGTTTTGCTTGTCATGAAAGCTAGAACTGCTATGGGGAAAAGTGTGGCGCTTGGAAGACACTGATTCAGTGTCCATTTTCTCAGGTAAATTAGCAGCAGGAGTTAATTGGTGACCAAACTGTAATTTGGGTTTTTTTTGCTTGTCATCAAAGCTAGAGCTGCAATGGGGAAATGTATGACGCTTGGAAGACACTGATTCAGTGTCCATTTTCTCAGGTAAATTAGCAGCAGGAGTTAATTGGTGACCAAACTGTAATTTGGGCTTTTTTTGCTTGTCATCAAAGCTAGAGCTGCAATGGGGAAATGTATGATGCTTGGAAGACACTGATTCAGTGTCTATTTGTTCAGGTAAATTAGCAGCAGGAGTAAATTGATGATCATCTCCAGCACCATCAAACTGTGGAATTTTTGAGCCAGATAAATCTTGACCAACAGAAGTTCTTTTTCCTTTTTTATCATCAGAATTTAACACATCTACAATTGAATCAAGTATGTCCTGACACTCTTGCTGAGATTCATTCTCATAATCTGTATTAGCTATATCCAACACTTTATTAATGGTTGCTGCTGGCAACAGGGGATTTAGAATGGTCTCCTGGTGAAGTTCGTCATCTGAGTTCATATCTACTGCAGCCTGTGAGGAAGCTAGCCACTTCAATAATGCTACATCCTCTGAATCTGTACCCTGAATCATATAAATTGAACATGTTAAGAGAAGGGGTAATCAGAGCAAGGAAACAACAAAGGCAAAGAAGCACTAAATACAATTTCCATAATTACAACTTTTACGCATCATCATCAAGGGATTAGATTAAGAAATATTTCAGGTCATTCTACACCAACAATGAAACCAAAAAGGTACTGGAACAGGTAAAAAAACAAAATAAAATGGTACTTTCTTGAAAGTTGATATTCAAACTAGGGCAGTTATAAACTTTCGAAGAATCCAATTACTGCAAGACAGCAAGGAGGAGAAAAAAGGCAGAGAATTTCAGAACTTTTGTATCAACTCTTTCCATCACCTGAAGAATATCCAATTCATCCATTTCAACTGATTTTCTCAATAATGCACCTATAGCGTCAGCGGGCACTGATTGCTTTGGTGTCACACAATGCTTGATATTTACATCTTCAGAGGATCTCAATACTAGCTCATTTGAGTTTTGGTTTCTTGTTCCCATTACACTCTCCTCTTCTATTGGACATTGTGTTGGCACCATAGAATTCACATCTTCAGATCTATCTAACAAATTGCTTTCTAATTTGCTATACAAACCCTTAAGGTTGTCCATGTACTCGACACCATTTGACAAGGTTTTCAAAACATCTTGAGGAGGTGGCCGACCAGGATCAGCCAGTATTTCTGCATCATGAACTCCACTCCTTTCAAACTCTTCCTATGAGTTACGTGAAAAAAAACAGTAAATAACAGAACAGTCCACATTACATGTCATTAACAGTGAGTAATATATTGCTGGGATAAAGCCAAACCTCCCATATAGGAACAAGCGACTGAACCATTCTCACATCTGAACGAGTTTGTGAGAGGGATGTATACATTTTCAACTGCTGATTCAAAATGTCTGTAAAACTATATGGTGAGAGTAATAATTCAAACTGAAACAGGGGGAAGAAACCTGAAGGCAGGGTATAAATAACAGCATACCTTCTACAGTGGCATCCCCCTCAAGTTCACAAATACTTTGACGATTTACAAAATTGTTGACAGGAGTTAATGAAGCACCACTTACGGAAGGATATTGCCACATCCATTCATCTGGAATTGTTAAAGACCTCCAAACTAGTGGCAATGGATGTGAACTAGAAGCCACATCTGCCTAGTGAAAAGGATTCCCATTTTAGTGTTTCAGATACGAGAAACAATATATGAATATGTAATACTCCCTCCGTCCCCGAAAGAATGACCCTTTTGGGTTGATTTCGCGGGTGTTAAGAAAGTTAAATACAAAGAAGTAAAAGTATATTGGAGAAATAAATTTACATGGGGTTTGTAAAAAAGTAGAGAGAAAAAGCATTAAAAATACATGAAAAAACAAAATTTTATATGGGGAAGCTAATTTTACACAAATATTGTTGTAAATTGGTGGGTATTTTAATGCAAATGGGTCGATCATTTAGGGACTAAAATTAGGCCAAAAGGGTCGAACTTTTGGGGACGGAGGGAGTAATAATCATAGATCAGTAACTCGGTAAGGCAGTCACATGACCTGAGAATAAGAAGACTTCCCAACAAAAGTTTCTGGATTAGAATGATCAGCATTCTCAACACGGAGATCACCAGGCACTGGATGACGAAACTTCATTTTTGAAACATGCATATGGCCCATGCCATATAAGTTGTAGTCAACCTAATGCATTTTAATAACAAACAATATAAGTGAAGACAACAAAATCAGAAAAGTACGAGGGCATAGACACCCAAAAAAAAGCCCAAAAAACAGATTTGAATTTGATAATTGTTTATAGTTTAAACACCCATTCAAAAAAGATGTCTCGTAATTTAAAAATTAAAAAAAAATTATAAAAAAAAAAAAAGTGTAACATTGCATTCATTTAAACACCAGAAATGTCTTCCATTCTATTCAAATAATCAAATCTAAAAGGTACTGACTAGAAAATCCAATAATCCAATACAAACTTGATCTCAATTCCAAAGCCTTAACAGAAGATCAGATATACTCTACTAACAACACTTTTCTCAAAAGCGAAATTTTCTCAAACAAAAATTAAATGAATAACTAATGCCCTGCTAGTCATATACCCCAATTATTAACCATAAAAATTAGTTGGCATCTGCCACAAATGTCCTTATGGTACATCTGAAAATCTGAAATGTCCAAAAGCTAGTCAAACATATCTGACCTATCACTGAACTCTTTCTTTCTCGTGAAATAAGCTTCCATCGCAAATAGAGGACTAGAGTTTCTCGTTTTTAAAAAAGCATCATAAACATTTTTCCAAAACCAAACAGCTTTTTCCTACATATCAGATCAGTGTTTCATTGTCCTAAGTTCGTAATAGTCACAACTAAAATGAACAATTTCTGTTCACTCTTTCTGAGAAAAAGAAAATGTCTACTTTAAGTAAATCTCTAAAGTAAGATGAGACCAACTTTACCCACCTATCCAATTTAAACTCCCAATTCTTGAGAGTTGAGACCTACCATCAGCTCACAACATATAAAGAGGACTAACCGACTAAGCCAATCAAATCAAATCAAATCATTTAGGAATGAGCAAAAGAGGTCAAGCAAGACTACTCTACATAATTGCAGCATGTATATGGATAGCAATGTATAGAAAAGAGTAGTCACAGATATAGCAGCAAGACATGGAATTTTTCTTAATTCTAGAAATTTGAACTTCACTTCAAGTTGCTATTAGTACCAGAAATTGCAGAAGGAAGGGAATATGTGATTCATAGGGCTGTAGACACTTCTCAAAGACAACACCGCTCTGCAAAACATATTTTCTGTAACAGTAAGAATACAGTCATTTTGAGTAAACACACACAATACTCAACCACCAAGAACAAAAGCTGTTAAAGGCTAACAATTTGGTCAACTTGATACTTTGATAGTGAAGCAGTTAATCCTAAAGTAAGCTCACCATAATATTAACGATAATTTCTTGAAACACACAAATAATCCAAGATTTTTAGTATAGTCTAATCTATAATTCAAAGGAACAGAACAGACTATATTGGAATTCCACTGAAGATTGCAAAATCCTGAAATTAAACTTTTTCAGACAAAACCAAATGATTAAAATAACAGTTTGTGCAATACAACTTAATCTTAACAAGTACTGAATGAAGATGATAGCTAACAGTTTCCATTTAGGATAAAATGGCCAGTCTAAAGAGCCGTCTACAGAAAGATGAAGATTTCAGCAAGACTTTGGTTATTAAATTTATGTTTTCAACCAATAGTGGCAAAAAAAAACACATACCAGCAAAAGATTAGCAGCACGAGAGACATCATGGGGATGATATCTTTCACCAATCAAGGACAACAAAGAAAGGATAAAAAAAATATATATATGTATGCAAAGCACAAGAGCATAACTTTCAGCAACCTGTTAATGATTGAAGTCATCAGACTCAACACATTACGAAGTTTTAGTCCAATTACAACTCAGAAAACTAACAATGAAGCCAACTTAGCCAACTTGTCAAGGCAAAAGATGACATAAAGTGTTATATCACGTATGTTTAGCCTTCTTACTTCTTAAACTTTGAATATACAGCAATTAATCACTGACTTATCTTAAATGCAAGTGTGAGCAAACAGTATGTTAATCAGTCAATTTTATGTCAAACTTTTAGTAAACAGGTAAACCCTAAGACATTAAATTAAAAAGATGCTTCCTTTGCGCTCTAAAAATTGCTACATGTATAGGTGTCACACACATTAAAAGCAAAATATAGGAAAAAGATAGAGTGATAAAAAGAGGGAACATGGATGAGGAGAGAGAGAGAGAACAAATAGCCAAAAATGGGTATGTAGCAGTTAATATTAACTTCTTAACTTGGGAAATGTAGCAATTAACAAAGAATGGAGGAAGAATAATTCTGAAATTTAGCTTTCCATATCATGCAAGGGTCAAAATATTAAAAGGTGCTCATTCCTAGATTTAAAACAATGCAATGTTAAAAAGGATACAGATTTATCTTTACAAATAGCTCCTCTGATGAATGGTAACCATAAAATTTCTTTGCACGGACTACATTGCAACTATGCACATGCTGCCTTTTTGTACCAGCATTGCCCTTGAGCTTCACAAATCCAAAGTATTCAAATTTTATCAGCAGCTGACGAAACACAATGATGTGCAAAGATAATAAATTTTCAGACAATGCTTAAAACTTAACATACCTTCAAAGCCTTCTCAACAGCAAAAGATATGGCATTCTCATAAACACTACCTGTATTTACAAACAACCCAATCACACCTTTGACATGGACATGCCTAGATTCTAAACAATTCTTTCAGACAGGATTTTACTAGAGATTATACCAAACAACAAACTTTAGCAGCAACTCACAGCTTCAATCAAATTTAAAGTAAAAGCAACTAAAACAAATCAATTTTGGTACAAAAACCAATTTAAAGTAAAAACAAGTGAAACATAAAAGTTTGGCAAAGCTTGCTCTAACTTTTTCAAGGTTAGGATAGTTTTGCTTAGGTACCCTGAAAATTTTATTTTAGTAAATTAATACTGAATTAAAACTTCGGGGACATGTTGTCTTCCAATGACCCAAAACCATATCACATATTTGATTGTTTCCCTTCTCATTAAACATAAGATACAACAGAAATCAACAATCATTTTCGTTTGGAGAGCCATATAAATTGGCAATTTTCCAGCTTGACTTATTGAACAAATTTCCTCAACTAGTTACCCAACAATGTAAAGATTACTCCAAGGGAAACTGATATTTTCCAATGAAAACATGTGAAAAAATTATTGACAAAGTACAGTACCCACTATCCAACAAAAAATTTGACGATGGAAAGTATAAGCACGTGCCTAAAAGAGCAATATAAACTAAGGTGCTTCAAGTATATAATAACAATTATAGCATCATTCATATGAAAGTGGAAGGAGGATAAGTGACAAAAAATAACATCCAGTTAACTTGTGAAACATGACATTTTTCTTTCTTTTTTTTTTTCTTTTTTTTTTGGAGAAAGGAAAACATGACATTTCCAACGAAGTACAATAAATATCCAAAAGTTAAAATCAAAAAAAAAAAAAAAAAAAAAACAAACCTTCTGGATTTAGATGAAGTGGTATATCTGAGCAGGGCACGTATAAATATGGTAAAGCCTACAAGATAAATCAAGTGCCAACATGCCGTCATTAAAGGGACCTTTGAAAAATAACATCTAGGCTAGCCTCAAAATCAAAATAACCAATTTAGCTAGCATAAAAATAGTATAGAATACAGTTTAAAAGTCAATAAAATTATCCAGCACACAATGGAAGCTTACCAATTTAACCTATTCCACCAAATTCACTTAAAAATAAACTCATTTAGAAAAAGACAACATAAAATCCAATACCTTTTGTATCCATAAATAAATTTTTTTTGGGTGGAATATCCATAAATAATTTTAAATACTTAATTAACTTCTCTCACACTGTTTTCTTGTTAATAACACCATAAAGATGAAAATATAACCTGTTAAAAACCCTTCATGGGACGTACTTGTAAATCCTAATTGGTTAATTTAGAATCATTTTGTGATTAATTAAAGATCAAATTAGGACACTTTATATCACAAGATAGTAACTTACAAGAGTAGTTAGCATAAAACCTACATACAATTAATAATTTATAAATTACAAAAGGAAACTAAGTTTAAAAAGTGTTGTAAAACATTAGTTGTTGGAAAATCTAACTACGTTGAACTAAAAATCAAGAACACCAAAAAACTGAAAAACCCCCAAATTGAGCTAATTCAAGAGAATTACATACAAAAAGAATTCAATATTCATCAAAATTTTACAAAATCTTACTCGATGAACATGCACACAAGCTTTCTGACCAGCAGGAGTGGAGCCAAAGATTCTTATAACAGGCACTTCCTTCACACCTCCACCTGAAAATAAACACAGAATTCTCAGCTGAAACCCTAGAAATTCGTCAATTGATTCAACATTTCTAAATTATAATCGATTTAGGGTTTCGGAAAAATAAAATTGAATTCCGAAAAGATGAAATTGTAGAGAACCTTGGAAGCTGCTGTAAGAAATGTCGAAATCTGGAATTGGAGGAGCCATGTAATGATCAATCGAAACGATTCGAACGCTGAAAACCTTGGAATCTCCCTGCGATGGCGGTTCTTCCATGGCGGTTCTTCACTCACTTTCTCTCTCCTCTTTCTATTAATGGTAACTGATTAACTGATTTTGAATTTTGGGGAAATTAGGATGATTGGGTTCATTTGGCGCGGTGTTTAGGGTTTTTATACGTCGTGCTTGAGAAGTTTCAAGTGGAGGGTAGTTAGACTAGTTAAACTTTAAAATACTTCCTTTTTTTATCACAAATTTTCATGTGTCTGATTTGGAGTTATCTATTTAGGGGTTATTTGGTTGGCCAGGATTATTTATTCAATTGTTACTTGGTCGGCCAGTTACTCGATCGGTTAGGGTTACTTATTCAGGGGTTACTTGGTCGAGTCAAAGATTAATCTCACGCGCTAACCGACTAAGTAACCCCCAAAATAAGTAACCCTTGATCAACTGAGTAACCCCTAAACAAGTAATTTCGGCTACACAGTGTGGCTAGCCACAATGAAAAAGTACCGTTTTTATATTTGTAACAAATCTTTTTGACAAACTATTTGAAGACAAGATTAGACCATGTCAATGGACAAATACTGTATAACTTTCCTCTTATCAGTAATGAAATTTTGTTGTTTTCGCATCCTCCGTATGAAGAGTCCTTTTCAAACGTCATGGAAACTCTTATAATGCATTTCATTAACATAACACTCACTTATCAAAACTTATGTTAGGTTTAAAATGAACTTGACTTAATCTTGTTAACCTTTATCAGTTTATTTGAACTTTATATTTTGAAATACCTAGTAAATTGGAATTAAAGTAAACATACCAGGTTAATGAACTTGATTGTGACATGAGGGGGAATAGTGCTCAACATGTACAGGAGAATTGCATTAGTATGAATAGTATCTCTCAAATTATATCACATAAAAGGTTGATATGGAATCAAATTGTGGCTGTTGAGCTTCATACTCTTACAACATATGTTGAAATGAGAAGCTTAAAGCATTTCAATCTACTAGACTTAACAATTATGTTCCATAAAAACACAAAAAATACACATGAAAACCCACAATAGTATAGCAGTTTAGTTTCCTTGAACTCTTGTACAGTTGTACTAAATGTCTAAATGGTGTGACATAATTTTACAATAATGAATCTTTGCATGCTTTGTAATAATAATAAGATAGTAATTCAGCTGTACACAAATGTCAAGCTAAATGCTTGAGATCAAATAAATCCAGTTCACAACTTCACATACTTCAGACTGATGTACTGTTAGGAATTCCCCTGCCTGTGAGTCCTGCATCGCTCGTAGGATAAAGCAATGTGTATGGCATCTTCACTGGACCAACTCTATTCTTCTGTTTCTCATCTCTGTTTCTCTCTACAATCTTGTCTTCGATTTCCTCCAAAGTTTTCCCGAATTTCTCAAATGCTTCTAATGGTTTGGCATCTGCAGTCCATTCTTTAGTCTCCCTTTGCCCAAGATATATCTGTTTGATTCAAACAGAAGAGAATATTTGTTAATGTATCAAACAAAAACCACATATTAACATAAGGAGTTTCCGAAAATACCTCATCAGAAGGATGTCTAGATAAAAGCTCAATAAGCGAAATCCCCAATACACTTTGGAACTTGTTTGAAATAGTCTTTAGGAATACAGTGTCAGGCTTTTTCTCAAGCTCTTCATACTCTGGAGTGTTTGGCTCTGGCATGAGCCTTCGACTGACAGTTGGGCGATTTGGGTGGTACCCGGCATAAGGGTACTGCCCGAAATTGACTGCAGCATGGAGGGCTGAAGCAATCCATATAATGGTGGTGCAAGTTTGTGTTAGTTCATTAAGTGTCTTCATAGCTGGCCACCATTTCTCATCCTTCTTATCACCATGGCCTTTTTCTCGGATTTCTTTCCACCATGACTGTAGTTCTCTGTCTTTACAGATCATGTCATCGGACTTGTAGTAAATTGAGCAATATTCTTTCACCCACGTCTCAATTGCTGACCAGATGTCTAGTGCATCAACGGCGTATGGATAGTCCTCTATTAGTAGTTTATAGCCATGAGGGATATGAGCATCTTTCACAGCAACCCCCCTGATTAACAAAAGTATTGAATACAATGTCAGTAAAACATATTGTTTACTCAAAATTTAGTATAATATTAAACCAAGCATGTACAAAAGTTTGGTTAAACGAATTTTTTGTAAGCACATAACCTTTTAACAAGATCATTAGGAACGGCTTGCTCAGTAAAAACCCAGCTCTTATACACGGCTGATGACAGCTCCATGGAATACTGTCTAGGGAATACAGTTTTCTCAAGGAGTCCTTCCGCATTAAGAAGTATTTGTCTTGCAACTGCGTTTATGTCCATAGTATAACGGAAATGAGGGTGCAGAAGTCTGTGGATTGGATGAAGCACACTCAGTTGCCTATTTGATGCGATCACAAAGGGTTCGATCACTGCATGAGTTAGCATCCTGCAGTAGGCCAAAAAATTAATTGTCAATACATTCCTTGATTACTAGTGAACGCATAGTCACATATGCATGCCAAAGTGAAAATTTTAGATTCTTTGTGACAGAAGTCACAGAACTAGTACCAGTGGCTGACGAGTTGATGGTGGCCAGAATCATTAACAGCAACATAAGCTTTGGCAAGCTGCCAAAGAGAACCTTCAACACCGTCATGAGCAGGTGTAAACACCTTACTAATGGCACCCAATTTATCACCTTCAGGATGTGGTAGACTCAACTCGATAGCTAAAGGCTTCAGTGTACCGTCATTTTGTAAGAACAGAACTGTTCTGGTGGCATAGATCTTTGAAGAAGTTGAGTTTATTCGCCTTACAAATGGCATCATAGTGTCGTGGTGATCTAGAATAAATAGCTTGTTTTTCTTAATTGCCTATTTCAATCAAACACAACTTTGGTTATATATGGAAATCATTGTGAGAATTTACAAGAAGAAAAAAAGTTGTGCTGAAATTTTTACCTCATCTGCACACAATCCACCAAGGTTCTTCTTGATGTGTTCTTCTGTGATTGAACTGTTTTGGTTTCCATATATTTTGGGATCAAGCTTGCTAACAGGAGGAAAGACCTGCAGAATATGACAGCATCTTTGATTTAGCATAAAACCGAACTTTTTATCCATAATTAGATTTATCTCTCCATATGATACATAACAAGATTGATACATTAACCAAATTATCTTAAGACATGTGAACTGTTTTTGGAAGTACCAAATTATTTCTTACCTCAAGACGACGAATTGCTAGAGGATTTACACCAGCTAACATTTCTCTAGCAAATTCTTCGTCTGTTCTCCAAGCTGACTTATCCTCTGTGATCAGGGCAGAGTCCATTAAAGAAATGATCATTCCATGTTTAACATCAGGCATACACGAGTATTTCATTCGGATACATACCTTTGATTACATCAGGCATTGGAAATTTTAGAAGTGGAGCACCATCAGTTTGAAGGAAAGCTTTTAGTAATTCAAATGGGATGCTATCCTTTAACTTCTCAATTAGTTCACCCTGTGGTAGCTTAATTCCTCCTTCATACAGATCCAGTTCATCTTGGAAACTATTAAACTCATTGCGATCCTTGTCAAATATAGACTCGAGACCAACAGAAAAGTCCTGGGACAAGGACTTAAGCGCGTAACCCAGGAAATCAGACATCTTTATGTGTCCGAATTTCTCATCTCTTGGAACATATACATCTAAACCCTTCAGAAGTGGAAGTCTACTCTCAGTTTTAGGATCTGCCAGGTCATACAGATATTATTTAGCTTCGGAACCACATATCTCAGGTTGCATTAGATGAGAAAATTATCAAGTTCATCTGAAACCACACCTCTTGTTTATGTCAGTTAAACAAATCTAGTTCTTATTTCACATATTCATTTGATCAGTCTGCAATCTACTGTGTAGTGTGTAGGTGTAATCAATTAGATACGAGTCTAAAGAGAGACGAAAAGATCAATCTTCTTGCACCGTGTTTTGCAAGTACATTAGTATAACACAAGGGCTGACATGGTTCTGATTAACTTAAAACTGAGGGTGAGTGCAGTAGACTGATAAACTTTTTTTTCTGAGGTTGAAGCAAAACTCGGAATGTGTTGTTACATGTCAGCTAGCATAACTAAGGCAATGATCTATCCAAACAAAATATTACCTGTCTTTGTTGGGGGACGGCCTGTTCTTCCCCTGCGAGGATAAGGATATTCAGCAGATCCTCCAAGTACAGGACGAGCATACTTGGGACCTTTATCCGGATCTCCTAGATCATTGTAGTATGCATAGTCATAAACGCGATCCCATTCCTCTAGCTTTGCTTCACCGGTTCCTCTTAATACCTCCAGCTCTTCTTCTCGATACTTGCTTAAAGGTGCAGGTGTTTCATCAGGTAGGTAAGTCTGTCATACCACATTTGTAACACCAAATTGTTACATACATCAGATATATCAATACTTTGGATGAATATATAGAATATACTACCACCTTATTGGTGAAAATAATACGGTCCTTCTTGTAACGATTAGTTGGGTAGATCCACGAGTTACACACGAAGTTGATTTTATCACAACCAGGAATGTCTTCTAAGGTGACAGACTTCAGGTAAAATTGACTGTGATGTTCATTCTTTATGATTACTGCACCAGGAACGCCAATGTCCTCATCCCAATCAAAAGTAATATTAAATGCTGAATCCCCGGGTGTTAAACCAGTGAAATTTTTTAGCCAATCTCCTAGATATGAAGGCTTTCCAAGTTTACCTTTCGATTCATTGCCTGCAAATTACACCATACATTACTCGTTTTGATAAATATTAATGACTCAAAGCATGATTGTCGTTACTGAGTGTCAACTAGCATATTTGGTTAAAGTCTTAAAAGGTTTACAAAGTGATTCCCTTAAAAAAAATTATAAGATTAAGTATATTTTACTGGGACTGTAACTGGCAAGGCATTTCCCTTACATCTAAGTGGATTCGGGTTTTAGTCACCTTACCCCCTGCCCTCTCCTTCTCAAGGGAGAAAATCGTAAGTTCGTAACCAAATTAAGGCTATGTTGAGTTCACTTGATAATGTAATTTTGCATCACCCATTGCTGATTTGCTACAGCACTACGTACCCCTATTGTTTGTGTTGCTATTTCTACTTTTCTAGTGCTAGTGTAGAAGTGCTAGTGCTAGTGCTAATATGCTAATGCTGTTGCTGTTGCTATTGCTAATTCCTGTTGCTATTGTTATTGCTTTTTGTCATTGTTGTTGCTATCACCAATTCACCATCACTTTGTTGGTATTTTACTTATAATTGCATATAAGAAATTCCTCAATTCCATATAGTATGTTGGTAAACAATTTGACATAACAATAGTATGCACATTATATACCCCCCCCACCCAAAAAAAAAAAAAAAAAAAAAAAAAAACATACTTCGTATATATAATTGTTGCATATGTCATGTGGTACAACACACATCTGAACCAATAAAATAAAGATGAAACTATTATTTATTTTCAAAATTAATTCTCACTTTTGCCTTCTGTGATAGGGTTGTACTATTAATTGTTTAACCGTTGTATAATAGTTTAAAGCAATATTACTTGTCAAATTAAAAATTACTTGTAATCTTTTTTACTTAGCTTTTATTAGAAAACACTTCTTAATTATTTTCAAATGGATAGGATAGAATGATAGATTGATTAAGCAAGGACAAAGTATGGATGAGTTGTTAATCACTTAATCATGTGATGTGTGAAAGTTTGTACTAAATGTTTTCTTCATTTCTAAATTAAAGATCATGTACATGCAATATGATTAGAATATTACACCTCCATTCATACTTGTTCTTTACACTTTCCACATTAGTCGATTACTGTTACACACCGTACTTCGTAATTTAAACTGTTACTACATTTTTTTACTTTTGGGTTTGATTTTCACATTCCTAGCTTTATAATTCTGAGAGTGAAAAATAGCTCAAATAGTTAGACTTTCTCTCCCGATTCAAGTGATCTCTGGGATCGATTCTCACCCTGCCTAAGTGGGTTTGTGGCTCTCTAAAAAGAAAAAATAGTTCTCATATACGAAATCTTTCATTCCTTTTTGTATGTTTCGATTCTTATACTACGTATACAAAGTACTCTTGCAATCTTATATTTAAAAGCCAAACTCAACGTACATGTGATTTACAAAGTTATAAATCTCAATTATCATTAAATATTAAAAAGGCACAAAAAAGAAAAAAAGGTTAAAGCTTGCAAACATTGTTATATTGATATAATATAGGGAACTAAGGAAGGAATAAGTGTAATAGACAAAATTCGAATTAAGGAATTATCTATAGCCCAACCTCGTTCACTTTTAAGTTTTAAATATTTATCCAACTAAGCTAGTTAATAGTACTACTGTAAATGAATATCCTAAAGGTGAACACATATTTTAACTCATAGTTAATCGATCTTAGTAGAGTCCTTAATATATCTGTACTAGTATACCTGTATACGTATATACATAGTGGCATAGACGCATAGTGCTATAATTTACTGGGAAATGTGACCTATTTGAATTTTGAAACTCCCAATCGAATGCTATAGATTTAAAATATAAAATGAAGTTCACATTTTTATTAATTTCATTTAAAAACAAGTACACAACTACGTGTCTACGTTAGCAACACCACCTTAATGATTGAAAATCATTGAATAAATAATCATAATAACTATATTAAATTATATAAACACTTATAATAAAAAAAAAATTGTAAAAACAATAATATTGCATAAATTCAAAGAAATTTTTTTTAAAAAAAAAAGTGTAACAGTAAAAAAATTACCTGGGTCGGCATTAACAGAGCTAACAAGCTGAAATGACACCTTTTTACCAAGCAATTCATCAAATCTATCAAGAATTGATGCATTAAAATCATTGAAATCCAACACATTCTTCTTCATCAATATTACTCTTCCATTTATTTGCTTCTTGTTCTTGCTACTACTACTACTATCTCCTGAAATAGCATCTATAATATTATGAAACATTTTTTTGGCTTTAATATTTGTAACTTTGGAATATGGGTTTTAATTTATTTTTTGGTGAATATGCATATATAAATAGTAAATTTATAAATATGGTTGTTTGAATGATTCTGGAAAGGTGGTGGGTTTTTCAAATGAAAGAAATAATAAAAACTATACATATAATGAAGGGGTATTTATAAGGAAAAAGTAGGTGCCTAGATTTATTGATATGGAGAAAATGTGATTAATATGAATGAATGACCTTACCACGGCAGTGCATGCAGTTTAACTGTTTAAGATGATGTAGATTGGTATGTATGCCCATTATTTTTTTTAATTTGTTACATACTTCCTATGTACAAGTAATAATTATGCAATCCGTTGTCTTTTTGAGATAGTTTTATTTGGTGTTGGTTTTCACGAGGATTGATCGTTTGAGCTACTGCCTGCTGTGATCTGGTATGTTCTATTGAAATCTGTTCCGTCTGATGACATCTATTCAGCTCTATTCTGCTCACTAGCCTAAAGTAACTGGGCCTAATTGGTGTATTCATAATTCCATATTAATTAGACATTTAGACATGTATGATTGTTGTATGGGGAGATATTTACATTAAGGTCGATACTGTATGATAGGCCGATATTGTTTGTTAGGCCGATATACTATTCGAATCCGGTTCATCAGTAATTCTTGTTAATATCGGCATTTATATATAAAGCATACATATCGGCATGTAAGCAGCTGACACGTGTCGTTCTCACGTTTGACACGTGGCGAAAATTACTTTGCATATTAAACTGTCACCCGTCACTTAATCAACCTATAAATAATCTGGTTTTACCTCATAAATAAGGTAGCATTTATTACACTCTCTCTCTCTCACTACTTTCTCTCTCTAAAAAATCTCTTTCCTCTTTCTATAAACACTTATTGACTTAATCATTGGAGTGGTTATCCCCGGATTCACCCCGGGGCTAGCTAATCCCTTCTCTGTGTGTAGGTTCTTGTTTGGCCGATAGGAGCAGAACGGGTTATATACTCGAGCTTCGGATCTTGGAGTTGGGTCATCGGATTCCTGCAAAAACAATTGTATATAGTATAACTACACTCAAATACACGTGGGACAAATTATATATAAAATAATTGTATATATATACTTAGACCTTCACTAATGTCTTGTTCTCCGGCTTCTTTCTTGTATCATCGTCAACTTCTTTTCTGTATTATGATATGGAGGATGTACCAATTACGTGTAGAATTGAACCTAATATAAATTTTTTAAGTAATCAAACTTTTTATTTAAAATAGTGAATTCATGTGACAAACCAACTATTATGTTATGGAGTACATAACAATTAAATTTTAACTTGTTTTGATGTGAAATAAAAAATTTAGATGCTAGGCACATTGCACTATTATTATTATATATTATACAAGTAATAATTATTTATTTATTTGGAGGGACACATTGCATGCATTACGTTGTTTATGATAAATTATTATGTCATAAGCTTTGCTTGATGGCCAATATAAGGTGTACGCGCGAGTATATAAGTGCTCCTATCAACGTGGCCACAGATTAGAGGAGAACGTAATAATTAATTATAATATATGAAGTTTTTCATTTTAAGCGCAACTTTTGACCTAAAATTAAGTGATTTTTGTAAGTTCTTTTTGTTTTAATAACTTAGCTTGTTGAATTACCCAAGGCCAAATCGATTTTTGAGATAAAGATAATGAAAAAGAATCTCTCTAAGAAGGGTGTAAAACATTCTACTACAAAACAAACAATTAAAGACATAAATAAAGTGCAAAATAAAAAATTTACAATGGGGCTCGTGATAGAGTTGAGATTAAATAGTCAAATATCATATCATAAACCTACAAATGTAAGAAAAAAAAATTAAAGAGAAAGAAGAACAAAGGGAGGAATTAGTGATTATTCAACCTTGTTTGTTTATTACTCCCTAGGTAATTGAATTGATTGTTAATTGTTTGATGAGATCATATTCAAACTATTTTAACTAAATGGTTGTTTTAAATTTTTGATTAACTAGTTATGTATTATATAGTAATATGTTGCTCTGAGTCGGGTAAAATTAGTGTATTTCACATGTATAAGTAATAAACAAATTACATAAAGTAGTTGTTTGTTTAATTAATTATTACTTATACATATGAAATAAATGCTGAAAGAAGGTACATAATTCTCACCATTTGACTTAATTTTCACAACCATCTAATTTAAAAAGTTAATTAAAGTTAATTTCCTTTAACTTTTTTACTTCCTCCATGTTTTTATTTGCATGCATTACATAATTATAATGAACATAGTTTGCGTTCAATAGTCAATATCCGTCTAATATCTTTGTATCAAAACATACAAAACACTTGGTATGGTTATCCAAGCTATTAAAAAAATTGCTAGAAAGTGATACAAAACACAGTACAGTCTAAGCTAGTCAAAGTGATACATACAATATTACACCTAATCAATATAAATAAATTTAACCACATCTACATTTGCAAAGAAAAAAATAATCTTTAATTTATTTTCTTCTATATGAAGAAATTGTTAGTGTTTATTTCCCACTGTTTTCAAATAATTTTTCCACTAGAGTTAGAAGTTCATATTAGAAGTTCTCAAAAAAAAAATAAAGAAGTTCATATTAAAAAATTTAGTAGGAAAATAGATATAAAAAGTATAAAAGAAAACCAGTTAATTGAAAACATCTACATCATTTGGTTTGAATAGATTTTATTTCTGTTAGGAAAATTTAAAGTAATAAAAAGGTTTTTATATTGCTTTGAAGAAGGTTTTAAGTTTACATATGCCCTAAAAAAATCCGGAAATTTGTTTATAGACAGAGGAAATAGTACCTTACTTACCAAAAGAAGAAATCGTAAATTTGTAGTTTTGTTTATTACCTTTCCACATCACTAATATCTAGTAAAGGAAAAGCCAAGTAAAGAAAGAGACTACAAACAGTCAAAACATATTTTGCTTTTAACATGATTGATCATTGTAGTTGAAGATTGGAGTTTCCTCTACATTTTGCCTAGAAAGCGATGTTGCATTATAATTGTGAGAATCGTTGCTTTCTAGATCTTTTTATTTTTGGGAAATTGAATGAATAAATTTAACTGAAAAATGATAAATGATGCCTTAGCTTATTGAAAAAATGATGCCTTGATTAAGAATTGCACTTAAAAATGTTCCAAAAAAAAAAAGAGAAAAAGAATTGCACTTAAAATGCTATAGAGAGTACATACGTACCGAGAAAAATAAAAAGAGATGAGAAAAATTACGCATTGATTACATCAATCGATCAATTTGTGTAGTTTTTGTCATAAGTTTTCAATTATATATTCATAAGTGGAAAATTGTTATGGTCATTCATGACAAGGGTAATTTTTGGCACAGACTTCCTCAGCTAAGGGTCTATTTTGATTACTGAATTGAGCTGAACTGAACTAAAGAACTGAAATTAAGCTGAAGAGAACAGGTCCTAAACTCATAAATATGTTGTTTTATCTTATATTTTTCTATTTACCGTCCACATAGGCATGTAAGGTTTTTTTTTTCACAAGTTAACAATAGTAAATTACTAACTCAATTAGCGGCCCATCGCTCAATAAATTGCTTATACAATTAATTCCCGTTAAATAAATTAGTGGTTTATTATAGTGAAATATATAGCTACTACAGAGTAGCCTTTTTTAAAAAACCAAAACACGTAATAGAAATAGCTTTTTGATATCTTTATTATGGTGAATATGATTAAAAATTGCAAAAATATTTTGAAGTACATGGTATGTTGGGATTTCTAAAATATTTTGAAGTAGAATTGCGTGTCTCTTACCACTAAGTTATGCAACAATTTATATTATCATTGGAATACAAAACGTTAATATGTAGCGAGTAATAGTATAATTAGCAAATTTAATAATTACAAGGAAATTGAGTCATAAATTAAAACATGTATTAGTAAACAACTCCATGTAATGGCTTGAGGCATTGCTCGGGCTAAAAATTAGTTATACTATTAAATCAAGTCCAATTACACCAATTCAAGGATACTTTTGGGATCGAATCTCAGATAACTAATTTAGCTAGAGACTCAGAATTTCCCCCAGTGTCCTACCTTGCCATTAGGTCAAATAGATGAGCCACCATATTACAAAAATGCTTAACATAAAAATAAAAAATAAATAAATAAATAAATTACAATCATTAAATTTGGTCATCTTATAGCATTATATTATACACGAGTAGAATTTAAAAATCGTTAGTAAAATATGTATGTAGTACTAATTAATTAAAATACACCTCATCATAGAGAAATGATGAGAAAGGATCATGGAGTTGCCGACAAAAGTTGCGGGAATTGAATATTCGAAAAAGGGTGCAACATATGCCTAAATACTATGCATGGCGTGTTTATAGTAACTTCCTTTCATGGAGGGATTATTTCTTCCCGTAGAGGGTTGAATCATCTGCCTTTTAAGGTATGGTTTTATTATGTTTAGGTCACTCTTTTAAGATAAGGATCTCTTTCCTTTTTTGCCCTTTCAATGATATTTGACGTAATACGTAAGGACATATGAATTCGATCGGGTGACTTTAATTATCTAATCTAGTTCATTGTTCACATTTTGCTCACCATCTTGAAATGAATCCTATTATGGTTCATTTGTTAATTTTCGTAATAAAGGCGTACATAAATTAGAATGACTTTAATTATCTAATCAGCTAGTTTCATTCACATTTTGTTCACTTTCTCTTTCTTTTGATTATCTAATCAGCTAGTTTCAATCAGCTAGTAGCCCTCCAAAGCTCCAACAAAACACCACCATCTTGAAAAGAGAAGTGTACATTTGACATTCATTCAATCAATACCATACCATAATTAGCCTATCAAATCATTCAATCCACTGAAAAACGTTTATCTCCATATTATTTGTCAAATGAAAGGTTTAGAAAAAACCACGAAGCTTTTTTCACTAGACTTAAGTCAGCTAACAATTAAGATATGGTCTTTCACTAATTTAAGGGTCCATTGAATTAATTGGTAAGATTTAATAGGATACATATTATTATGTCATCTTCACCATTATATACTTCTTCCGTTCTATTAATATTGCAATAATGAACTTTTTGCACTATTCATCACTCTTGTTTGACCATATAATATGATTTATACGTTATTACGTTAAGCAAAATATAGGCATGTGGAATCTTGTTGGATTCGTCTCATAAAATATTTTCACAATATCAACTTTTTATAATTTTTACTCTTACACAATTATAGATATTTAGCATATAAAATGTGCTTTAAAATGCGTAATTTCCTTCTTGTTGCAATATTAATAGAACGGATGAAGTATAACGCTATATACCAATTTCATTATAACATTGCTTGTAAGATAACATAATAATTTAGAGTTTAGAATTTGAAGCAATTTCTACAACAGTATCATTAATTTGGTAGGTTGTCGAGCATTGACGAATTTCTGAATTTATTGATGACAACTATAATTTGATTGATGGCAACTTTGCCAAGTCCAACCATGTGATGTGATGCTAGATTGAATAGTATGGATCGATTATTATCAATATAATACGGTTTGAATACGTATCACGAGTTATAGGCGTAGTAGGGTTGGTAAAATATGGAACATACTCACTCCGTATCCAAATGTTACAAGTATAGAATTAATTATACGAGTATTAGACTAAGGATTTCAAGCTATATGCAACTTCAAAGAGAAAAAAAATGTCAAATATTTGTTTTGAATGAAATCTTCATCAACGTTTTAAATATTTGAAGGTGTTATCATGATGAAAATTAATACCATTTGAATTTGTGCAAAATTACAAAATTTGATTTGAATGAAATCTTCATCAAATTGGACCCAAAGAGCCAAAATTACTACCAAAAATTCTAACTTCAAATTGGACCAAAAGAGCCAAAATGCCCCTCTAAACCTATGAACAACATGTTTTGCGCATGAAAATCGAAAAAAAAAATTTAACCGTTAAATTTAAGGGCTTTCTTGACGGTAGGTGATAAAAAACAATTTTTTAAATTTTTTTTGGTGGTAAAATAAAATTTTTTAAATTTTGGTAGTAAAAAACAATTTCGTGATTTTTTTTTTATGGTAAAAGTAAAAAAAAAAATCCTTGTATAATTGTTTTACTAATATTGAATTTAGAAAATTAGCATCCAAGGAATCAACACCAATTAGTGTATGATTAAAGTCTTATTAATGTGCAATTATTTAGGATTTACATTCTATGAGAGAATTAGGTACAAATGCACACAGGGTTCATGTGGTGCCAATTCATATGAAGGAGCAGTGACAAATGGCAATAACATGTTGTCTCTTTGAGTTTTTATACAATTATAGATGACTAATAATCAAGAATTGTCGCTATCAAATTTAATTTGTTAGTTAATTTAAACGGGCTAAATAAAACTGGCAAGCAGGCTTTTTCTACATATTAATAATAAGAAATTATTACTAAAACATAAACTTGGGATACTTATAAATCAGAATTCTAATATGAATCAAAAGTTTGGATTGAATAACACCCATTCAACAGTTTATGCTCATAGGAGAATTTAGGAAACTTGCATTACACTTTAATTCGTTTTTCACAACATCTTGAACAAAATTACAACTAACTTAGGGCATGTTCTAATTGACTGAACTGAACTGAATATTTTATTAGAGAAGGAAATTAAGAATTGAACTGAATTTATTAGAGCTAAACTGAAAATAATCTGAAGAGAACAGACCCTTAGCCAAGTTATAGCGTTGTGTAACTGTTCTCGGTGCAATTCGCTAAATTTACGGTTATAAGTCTAGATTATTCAGAGTACACAAGGCTTCAAATATTAGACAGTACACTAAAGCAAGAACTGTTATATACTAAAAGTTTTTTAGATTGATAGGAAGAGCATACCAGGATGCAGGATCAGCATGAGCAACATTGACAAGCTGAAACCTTTTTTCCTACCAGCACATCATCACAACGAAGAGTGGACGATGTCAAACGATCTTTGAAGAGGCAGAGATAGTGTTCTTCTTCAAGATTACATTCATTACAATACCTTCAATAATCACCTTACCAATGTTACCATTACCTAAAGATCTGGTTTTCAGGTTTTCAGAAATGTTTGCATCAGCGCAATGCAATTTCAATGCTTAAGTTCACTAGCCATTTTTATGTACTCAGGTAAGGACACTTAATTACTCAGGTCTACAAGAAAGAACAACTTTCATTATTTAATATGAAAGAAAACTCATTTACTTACACTAAATATCATGTATCAAATAAAAAGATTAAACAGATTATGGATTTTACGAACCAAACTGTGGAAATTAGTGTAAACGACTCACTTTTTGTTTACTTTTCCACGGTTAAACACCCAAGAACAAAGTGAAAGTAGAAAAATTTGTGAATTTGTATTCAGAATTATTCCCAAAATCAGTAGTATATATTCTAACAACATGGTCCTGACTCCTGAGAGAACCTTACAATATAATCTTTACTTGCTAATGTTTAAAATTTTGCATTTATTTACAACTTCATTTCTTTAATGACCTGATTCATAATCATGCTTCCTAGAATGTCCTAGGCCACTCCTAGCATCTTATTTTCCAGTACAAAAAAAAGTAAATTTATAAACTTACAAATCTATGCTTACTGCTTCATAGTTAGTCAGCAGAGCTTCAAATAGAGACACTGTTAGGAATTCCCCTGCCGGTGATCCCTACTCCACTTGAAGGGCACAGTAATGTGAAGGGCAACTTAGCCGGACCAACCCTATTCTTCAGTTCAGGATCTTTGTTCCTGTCTAGAATCTCTTTTTCTATCTCTTCTAGTTTCTTACTAAATCTTTTAAATGCTTCTAATGGTGGAGCGTCAGAAGTCCATCCAGGCTCTCTTTCTCCGAGATACACCTCATCTTCAGAATGCCTGGAAATAAGCTCTATAACAGAAAGACAAGCTAATGTTCGGAGTTGGCTAGTTACTGTCTTCAAGAAAACGCCATCAGGATTTTTCTCAAGTTCTTTAAGTTCCTTTTTTGTTTTAGGCATGAACCTTCGGCTGATAGTTGGACGGTTAGGCATGTGCCCTGAGTAAGGGTATTGTCCAAAATTGACTACTGCATGGAGAGCTGAAGCCACCCATATAATAGTTGTACAAGTTTCTGTTAATTCATCAAATGTCTTCATTTCCGGCCACCACTTCTCATCCTTTTTGTCACCATGGCCTATTTCCCGGATTTCTTTCCACCAGGATTGTAGTTCGGGGTCATTAGCAACCATTTTATCAGTTTTGTAGTAAAATAAGCAATACTCTTTGACCCAAGTCTCGATTGCACCCCAAATTTGTAGCCCATCAACAGCATATGGGTAATCTTCTATAAGTAGCTTGTATCCTTGAGAATCCTTAACAGCCATTCCTCTGAAAAGAAAGAAATAATACAGATTTACAGAATACTAAAGTTTTGATTGGACATCCACAACTGTATAATTCTTCAGACAATTAAAATCTTTCACGAGGTTGTTTGAGTAGGTAAATTAAATTTAACAATCCTATGATCAAATTTTGTAACCTGCACTATACTTCGCATTTTTGCAACAAGGAGTGAAGGAAACTTGGATTACAATCACTTCTGCTCTAGGTTATCTATACACAGCTTCATAAATTGAGATGACAATAATAGCCATATGTAACCTCATGAGGCAATTTGCTGTAGTAACTTTTATTCTTTTAATTGTGCAGGATATCATTTTCTCAATATTTAATAAAATTGTAAATCATAAATACCTCATTATCTCCTTGGATCATGCATACCTGTTAATAAGGTCTCTCGGAAGTGCTTGCTCGGTGAGTGCCCACTTCTTGTACAGTGAGGATGTCCAGTGCACGACATACTTTCGAGGAAAGACAGCTTGCTCAAACAATCCATTAGCATTAAGAGCTATCTGACGTGCTACTGTATTGACAGGCATTGTATCACGAAAATGAGGATGCAAAAGTTTGTAAATTGGGTGTAGCATACTCAATTGTCGATTTGATGCGATTATGAATGGTTCCATCACTGCATGGGTGTGTAACCTACCAAAAGACAATAAATGAACATCATTCCAACATCATTGCCAAAAGATGCAGTTAGTATGAGGTGAAGATTAGTGTAGCTAGTACCAGTGGCTGATAAGTTGGTGGTATGCAGAATCATTAACAGCAACATAGGCTTTGGCTAACTGCCAAAGGGAGGCTTTAATCCCATCATTTGCTGGTGCATGTAATTCGCTAACAGCACCAAATTTGTCCCCATTTTCATGTGGAAGGCTTAATTCAATTACCAATGGCTTCAAAGTTCCGTCTTCTTTTAAGAAGAGTATTGTGCGGGTTGCATAGACCTTTGATTTTGTTTCTGCGTTGATTTGCCTCAAGAATGGCATTACTATGTCATGGTGATCTAGTATGAATAGCTTGTTCCTCTGCATTGCCTGGTTGAGGTAATAAAAGACCAAAACAGGAAGAGAAAGAAACCCAAGAAGTCATATAATAAACATATCCGATTCAAATTTGTGCTGTACGTTGAGCACTGTCCAAGAGCATTTTACCTCTTCAACACTTAACCCATCTAGGTTCCCTTGTATGCATTCTTTGGTGATTGAGCTGTTCTGGTTTCCAAATGCTACGGGATCTAGCCTACTAACTGGCGGAAACTCCTACATTGACGGAAAAGTATTGTTAAAATATGTTCACCTTGGTACATGTAACTTTTACAATAAGTCTTAAGCTCCAATTTAGAAGACTACAGAGTGGCTCTCTCTAGATTAAAGAAGCATCTGCCTTCACTAGTTCATGCATGTTCTATGATATTGAAAGAAGAAATGTAGTCATGTTACCTCTAAACGACGAATGACAAAAGGATTTATGCCAGCTAACATCTGTCTGGTGAATTCTTCATCAGTTCTCCATGCTGACTCGTCCTCTGTGCCAAAAATTATAAGAAACAAAAATGCAAAAAAATTATACCATTTGCAAGTCTCCAAGGACAAAATTTACAGCACTATGAAATTGGTGCTAATTGTCTAAGCTAATGTTTACCCTTTATAATATCAGGTTTTGGGTAATTCAGAAAATCTGCACCATCACTCCGAAAGAGTGCTTTTAGAAATGCGGTTGGGACCCAATTCCTAATTTTGTCAAATAATGAGTTATCTTGAAGCTTGATTGCTCCTTCATACAATTCATGCACTTCTTTGAAATTGTGAAACTTTGCAGGCGTCCAATCAAATATTGCATCCAGCGCACCAAAAATGCCCTGAGATATAGACTTGACAGTATCACCCATGAAATCAGACAACTTAAGGTGCCCAAACTTTTCATCTCTTGGAACATATACGTCTTTGGCCTTGGCTAGTGGCAACCTGGTCTCGGTATGAGGATCTACAAATAAAATGAAGGCAAATTAACAATCAATAGTATGGGATAGTTGCCTAGCAGTAATGTGCCTTTTTAAGTCCTTTGATGATGATGTTTAGAAATGAAGACAAGCAGGGGAAGCTTGAAGATTTCTCATACTTTTTTGGTGAATACAGAACCACTAAGGGCAATAATGTAGACAATTTCAATTCTATATTGGGGTAAGAATTTCCCATTAAGCTAAAAGTGATGTAATGCTAACCTTTCTTTGTTGGGGGGCGGCTTGTTCGTCCTCTACATGGATAAGGATATTCAGCAGACCCTCCAAATACTGGGCGAACATATTTCTTACCTTTATCTGGTTTTCCTAGATCATTGTAGTATGCATAATCATAAACACGATCCCACTCCTGGAGCATTTCATTTGGATCTTTTCCTTCTCCTCTCAATATTTTTAGCTCTTCCTCACGATATTTGCATAGTGGTGCAGGAGTTTGGTGAGGGAGGTATGTCTACACATGATAAACATAGAAAAGATTAAGGATAACAAATAACATAATTGTTGCAAATGCTTCAACAAAAAATAGCTAGGTAATTATGAGAGATAACCTTGTTGGTGAAAAAAAGGCGGTCTTTTTGATAGTATTTAGCAGGATAAATCCAAGAGTTGCAAACAAAATGGATTGAGCCATGGCGTGGAATGTCTTTCAAAGTAATGGTTCTTAGGTAAAATTCCCTGTCATGATCATTTCTTACTATTATTGCTCCCGGAAGATCAATGTCCTCATCCCAATCAAATCTAACTCTGAAGGCCAACTCGTTATCAGCCAAATCAGTAATTGTTTTGATCTCTTTTTCCAAATATGATAGTTTTCCAAGTATCCCTTTGTAGTTATTGGCTGAAAATTTGAACAGATTTACTATTAATATGGCTAAAGCACTAAACAAATATAATAATCACTAGAAGCATCTTACACTTAAAAAGATCATTGCCTGATTTGCCTCTGTCATCATTAGAAGTAACTGTCAATGTTTACTTTTAGTCTGAATTCTCCTCAGAAAATGAATTACTCTAGATCATGTTCTTGATTCATGATTAATAATTTAAGGATATTATGGAAGGTAACACTATACTTAGGGCCATTTATCGCGATCACCCTCACATATTTGACCCAGGTCTGGTTATTACAATGAAATCACCCAACCAACCCAAATGGAAACTAAAACAATAACAGGTAACCCGGTTTTTGAATCCAGAACAGAAATTGTCCTATCTCATAACTTAATCCCGAAAAGTGTGGTTAAAATCATACACTTATAGTGGATGGGTGACCTAAAGCTTAACAAGGCCAAGAGCACCAATTAATTCTTATCCCCAAATTAATTCAAACCAACTAAAAAAACTCATTATCCGAATATGACCTGATCTAAATCAACTTAATCTGAATACCCTGTAACTCATTTATTACCCGAAATTGATTGTGGATTAATACATTGCTGGGAAATATCACTCAACAACCTGATATCCAATCAACTCAGATATAATCATGTAAGTCAACTTCAACCAAAAATCAACTTCAGAACAATTTCAATCAATCTCTGATTAGTGGATTTTTATCATAAAACAACAAACAATCATTGTCCAAATAAAGTTATTCACAGATTAATTTGTCTCTAATCAAAGAAAAAAAAACAAAAAGGTCCAAAAAGAGATTATTTCCTTAAAAATTATGGGACCATTGGACCCATATCTCCTGTACGTGTAAACACTACAATATAATATTCGAAATAGTGATCCTACTGGCATCTCCTAGACGTGTAAAAACATGAGGCATCGCCCAGGACACACACTAGATTCAATCAATACCGGGATTAATGAGTCATTCTCATTACAGTATATCATAAAACAACAATAAAATCACAATCAAATAAAATCAGAATAATGGGTATCATAAAAACACAAAAAATGGGTTTATAATCAAAGAAAAATAGAACAAAAGATTACAGAAAATTACCAGGATCAGTATGAACAGCACTAACAAGCTGAAATGAAACCTTCCCATTAATCAAAACATCATCACTATGAACAAACTTAGATTTCAAATCTTCTTTAAAAGCAGAAAGAGTCTTCTTCTTCAATACAACAATTCCTTCAACAATCACTTTTGCAGGTGCACGATTATCTAAGGTGTTCTTCACCACACTATAGTAAGACCCTTTTGCTTTTTCTTTAGATTTCAAACTGAAGAAGATCTTTGACTGATTATGATTTGGAAAAGCACTCAGATTTCTACTTTGGAGGAGAGAGAAAGTTGAAGAAGAAGGGTTTGATTTTGAGTGGTGATTGGTAAGTGGGGTTAGGAGATTAGTGTTGCTAATCTCACATTTGAGTAGCTTAATCATGATTATTAAGCACTAATGAAGTAAGTAATGATGATCTTTAGAAAGTGTGATTCTGGATTTATTGTGGTTGTTTAATGTCACTAATTCACTGGTTTTATAGTAGCATGTGTTTTTGGACGCTTTGGTTGTGATCAAATAAACAAATTTCAAGTTTCAATAAAAATAATTTGATTCCTTTTTTTTTCAAATAATTTTAAGTTAGTCTATGGAATTTAAGTTGACTTCTAAATTCTAATTAGTAAATGATTTTAAGTTACTACCTACTTTTTGTTTGATTATTTGAATAGCATGTGTCTTTTTCAATGTTTACCATGCAAAAAAAAATTAGGATATAATTTCATACTCTATTATTCAAATTAGTTGTCTCATTGTTGTATAAATTAAACTATCAATATAAAATTTTATATAGTGATTATTAAGTTGTCTTTGCCAAAGTGATTTGGCAATAAGATATAAATTATATTCATCTCTATACCTTCATCATATGAGTAGTCTCATATTTAAGTTGTCTCTGCCAAAGTGATAAGATAGAAAGTACTCCGTATAAGATAAGTAGTATGTGAAACAATGCATTAAGTCCTCAACCGGCATTTTTATCAAACAATAACGCATGTATTAAGTAACAACTAGCTTTTTGGCCCGTTCAATGCACGAGTTGTTACTTGGGTTAATTATTTTCATATGTAAAAAGAAAAAAAAAAGAGTGAGAGTAGAACTGTGAAAGAAGATGAAGGAATTTAGTTAGATATATATATATATATACATGAAGATTATGGGATATGAAATGACATATTAGTTTAAATTATATTTAAATTCTATGAGATGAAAAGACAATTTTTATTGTAATTCATATGTTTATGTAATGTGTATTAATTAATTGAACTTTATTTTATTATGGTGGAAATAAAACACTTCATTTTCATACTTGAATTTGTAAGTTGTAGAATGCATAAAGACTTACTTAAAAACATAAAGGGAGGTGAAATGTGACATGGGGTAATGAGTGACTTGTGATGTCATGTGTCATATGAAAAATTTGTAGTTTGTGTTTTAAAATACTAAGTATAGATGTATTAACTGCCAAACGTTATCAAGAGATATGAAACCGAAACAATGCATGAAGACATGTATTAAGACATGCATTAAACAATGCATTAAGACAAATAACGCGCTAAGTAAATGCCATACTAAAACAAGAGATATCGAAACCGAAATCTTATGTAGCAGTTCCAACATAATTAGTGATGAATCAACCACAACATGATTAGTGATGAATCAACCACTTTCTTTCTCTTGATTAGTTGTATACTATTACCTTAATCATATGTTGTCTAAGAAATAACACCTCAAATGACTTAAACTTACATATCATAACATAACATAAATATAATCAACTGAATACTATAAAATTCTCCAACAGTCTTTGGTACTATAATATGCACAAGTACAACTCGATTATCATATATTTTGAGCTTAGAACAAATATACAACTCATTTATACTTCCTCCGTTTTTTAATTATTGCACCATAGGGGTGGGTACAAATATTTTGGTAGTGGAAAAAAGTAAGAGAGAGAGGTAAAAATACAAAATTACCCATGTAACATATTGATAAACTAAAAAGTAAGTGTGAAAAGGCAAGGGTATGTTGGGTATTTGTAGTGTGAACACAAATAATTTTTTTTTCCTAAAGAGGAAATTGTGCAATATTAATGAAACTTCCTAAAAAGGCAAGTGGTGCAATAATATAAGAACGGAGGAAGTATTTTGTTTCGAAAACAAAAATATAAATTCTACTATTGAATTTGATGTACAATTGACCAATTGTCATTTGTTTTTCGTAATAACTCAAGGCAACATGCAAGTCAAATTGCTAGTTAAATGAATCCAAATGATGACTAAAATTATTAATTTGTTTTAGAGGAAACATATTCTTAAATTGCAACTCAAGTATTATTTTCTTTTTATGCTTGTATGGTGAAATTTAAAGATCTAGGGTTTCATAATCTCTATAAGAATCCAGAAAACCATATGAGTATTTTCACTCAAACGATTACACATTAGTGGATTTCAAGTCGAATAAGTGCTAGCTCATGGATTGTATTGCTTCAGATGAAGTTTTTTTTATTAAGGAGATTGTTAATCAAATATGCGATGTATTTAGTTTGAAGGTGTGTACTTATAGTGGAATTCTTATTTTCTTAGGAATTACATGTAAATGTTGTTTGACTATATTTTATTAATATTTTTCTACTGTAAAAAAAATAAAAAAGTAATTGTTTTTTTAAATTGCTACTCAAGTATTATGATTTTTCTTTCCTTATTTGAAGAGTGTACATAATGATTAATTTAGTACTAATTTCTAGGGATATGTGCAAATTATGTCATGTGCAAGCCAAGACGCAATTTGATGGCTAATTAGTAAGAGGAGAAAAGTCAGCAGCTTCGAAAAAGTAGCTTCCTCACTTTGTTTAGTACTCAACTAGTCCACTGTATTTATTTATTTAGTATTTTGAAAAGGACTTTTTAAGATAAAATCACAAGCTAATTATTAATTTATCTTGGTGCAATTAAATAAGGGACTATAAAATCTCATTAGTCAGATTAATAATAGTGTTTTAACTTGTAACTGATTTTAAATTACATAAAAAAAATTTGCAATTATTTAGAATGTAAGGAATAGATGATAGGTGTGACCGTGTGAAACTGTGAATTCACATTAGCATCGATATTATGTCTCTAATTCATTTATTAAGCATTTTGCTTAGTGTACCCTAAGCAGATGTTAAGTGTCCATGTGATGTGGGACAAAGAAAGTTCCAACACTGAGCTCCGACTTTTTAAATAATTTTTTTTAAAATACGGAATACTTAGGTTAAGCATTTGTTTAGTTCACCTTATTTTCAATGAAAATAAATTCAAATAAGATATGTCGGGAAAAATAAATTTGTTAATTTCTTACAATATGGTGTATTATGATACCTTATAGTAAACATTTACTTACTAATTTCTCAACTTTTCATAATGTATGTACAACCTCATGCCTCTAATGACAATTGCTCATGATCATGCCTCCTAAACTACTCCAAACATCTTATTCTATAGAAAATTATAAATTCACAATCTTACAGTTTCATGTTTATTTGCTATTATTCTTCAATGTGCTATAAAGCTAGTCAAAACAGCTTCAAATTGAGACACTGTTAGGAATTCCCCTGCCAGTGATCCCAACTCCACTTGAAGGACACAGCAATGTGAAGGGCAACTTAGCTGGACCAACTCGATTCTTCAGTTTTCGATCATTGTTTCGTTCTAGGATCCTGTTTTCAATCTCCACTAGTGTCTTGCTAAATCTTTCAAGTGCTTCTAATGGTTGAGAGTCAGAAGTCCATCCAGGCTCTCGCTGTCCAAGATACACCTCATCTGCAGAATGCCCTGATATAAGCTCTATTACTGATATAGCTGCCAATGTTCGGACTTGGCTTAATACTGTCTTGAAGAAAACACCATCTGGATTAGTCTTTAGTTCTTCAAACTCAGGAGTATTTGGTTGTGGCATGAATTTCCGGCTTATAGTAGGCCGGTTAGGCATGTATCCACCATAAGGGTATTGTCCGAAGTTAACTACTGCATGGAGTGCAGAAGCCACCCATATAATGGTTGTGCAGGTTTCTATCAGTACATCTAATGTCTTCATTTCTGGCCACCACTCCTCGTCTTTCTTGTCACCATGGCCCTTTTCCCGGATTTCTTTCCACCAATCTTGTAGTTCAGGATCATTAGCAATCATGTCATCAGATTTGTAGTAAAATGAGCAATATTCTTTCACCCAATGCTCAATTGCAGACCAAATTTCTAGCCCATCAACAGCATATGGGTAGTCCTCTATGAATAGCCTGTACCCATGAGAGCTTTCCGGGTCCTTGACTGCCATACCTCTGTGAAAAAGGCAGTGAGGTACTAAATATGTTAGTATAACAATCACATTAGCTTGTCATAAGGACACCAGAACAGTAGCTTATGCTTCCAGGAGAATTGGTTCTTATAGGCTCACTAATCATATCTTTGAAATATGAAGTCCTGTGTTCCAAGTTTAACATACACATACTGCAAGTTGATTGTTTTCGTAACACCATAATTTCTACTACTGTTTTTGTTTCGTTTCTTAATATAGTAATGGTTTGATATCAATTTCCCAAAATCCACTAACTTGCATTGATCAATGAGGAGAATCTGAGAATGGTCTAACAGTTATATATAGAGAGTATGTGAGTAGAGCTATGTCCTTTCTTCGATTATAAGGAGTTGAGACAATGTAATATTATAATTGTTCACTTGTGGAGGGACTAACATATATGCAAATAACTAAAATAGGTGCCTAAAAAACTTAGCTGAAGCGAGTAATGATTTTGTGAAATTACTCTGTGCAATATGTTGATTCGGTAGTTATACATCTGTGTTATAGTTTCTTTGCAAGATTCTGGTATCCTGAGTTATAAAAAAGATTTAAATTACAAATACCTCACTATGGTGAATGGTGATAAATCAAGTAACATACCTCTTGATAAGGTCTTTAGGAAGGGCTTGCTCAGTGAAAACCCAGTCTTTATACAGTGCGGATGTCCACTGCACAACATACTTTCGGGGAAAAACTGCTGCCTCAAACAACCCATCAGCATTAAGAGCAATCTGTCGCGCTATTGTATTAACAGGCATTGTATCACGGAAGTGAGGATGCAGAAGTTTGTTAACTGGGTGAAGCATACTCAACTGTCTATTCGTTGCAATTATAAATGGCTCTATCACTGCATGAGTGTTTAGCCTGTGGAAAAACACTTCTGAAATCAAAGCTGTGAACACAACTACTATAAGCTGAATAAAGATTTTTATTTGTCTGACAGTTATAATACCAGTGGCTGATGAGTTGATGATAAGCCGAGTCAGTAACAGCTACATAAGTCTTGGCCAATAACCAAAGGTTGGCTTCTATTTCATCCTCGGATGGCTTATATAATTCACTAACAGCACCAATTATCTGATCCCCTTTTGATTGTGGTTGACTTAATTCGATTACCAATGGCTTCAAAGTTCCATCATCTTTCAAAAAGAGAAGTGTTCTAGTGGCATAGACCTTTGAGGGAGTTTCTGTATTGATTTTCATTAAGAATGGCATTACTGTGTCATGGTGATCCAATATGTATAGCCTATTACTCTGGATTGCCTGGTTGATGAATGAAAAAAGCGTTTAGGAATTAAAATTTCCATGAAGATGTCATCCAATATCATCCAGATTATACAATTGTTACTAGTAAACTGTTAAACATATTACCTCTTCCACAGTTAACCCATCTAGATTCTCTTCAATGCTCTCTTTGGTAATTGAGCTGTTCTGGTTTCCATAACGTTTAGCATCTAGCTTACTAACTGGAGGAAACTCCTGCAGGAAATAATAATCACTGTAAAGAGAAAATAAATGAAATTTCGGTGTGTGCCGAACAGTCTCAGAAGCAAAATCTTCCCGACTATGGTGCAATCATTGATTGAGCAAAAAAGCAGGGCTGAATACCTCTAACCGGCGAATGACAACAGGATTTATACCAGCAAGCATCTCCCTGACAAATTCTTCATCAGTCCTCCAAGCTGTTTTATCCTCTGTATCAAAAAGTTCAAGACATCAGAAAAGCATTAAACTTACACTTCCAATCTAGCATTATAGAGAAATTCTCCCATATTGAATATACTTGTGTGCTTCATCTTAAATAAAATGTACCTTTTATTATATCAGGCATTGGATATTTCAGAAAATGTGCACCATCATTCCGAACAAGCGTTTTCAGAAATTCACTTGGTAGATTTTCCCTAATTTTTTCCACAAATGGACTATCTGGCAACTTAATTCCTCCTTCATACATGTCTAACACATCTTGAAAAGTGTCAAACTCCTTCGGAGTTTTGTCAAGCACCGCATCCACCAAGCCAACAACGCCGTGAGTTATAGACTTGACTGTATCAGCCAAGAAATCAGACAACTTAATATGCCCAAACTTTTCATCTCTTGGGATATAGACATCTTTTCCCCTGATTAGAGGCAGCCTACTCTCAATATTAGGATCTGAAAACAATGTAGCCAATTCAAAAATTAGTAGTCTCAAACACTAATGTGCTCTTTAAAGTAGCTCTTTTGCTGCAATCAGCTATACATAGACAAAAAGCTGGTTACCTGTCTTTGTTGGAGGGCGGCTTGTTCGTCCTCTACGTGGATAAGGATACTCAGCAGATCCTCCATATATAGGCCGGGCATATTCTTTTCCTTTGTCTGGCTCTCCTAGATCATTGTAGTATGCATAGTCATAAACACGATCCCACTCATGGAGCATATCATTTTCCTTTCCTTCTCCTCTCAAAATCTGTAGCTCTTCTTCGCGATACTTTCTTAATGGCTCAGGAGTTTGATGAGGCAAGTATGTCTGCTCATCATACACATAAAAAACAGAACTGTCAAAATTATTTATCTTTAAAATGCTTCCCTACACTTTTGAGAACAAAAACAGCTAGACTACTCTAGGAAATAACCTTATTGCTGAAGAATATTCGATCTTTCTGGTAACGATGAGTTGGATAAACCCAAGAATTACAAAGAAAATGGATCTTTCCATGACCAGGAGCGCCTTCCAAGGTAATAGTCCTTAGATAAAACTCACTGTGATGCTCATTTCTTACTATCAATGCCCCAGGAACAGCAACCTCGTCATCCAAATCAAATTTAACTCTGAATGCAGACTCATCAGCAGCCAACCCAGAGGGTTTTTTTATCTTTTCTTTTAAATATGCTCGTTTTCCTAATTTACCTTTCAAATCATTTGCTGTAAAACAAAACAACTTTCATGTTATACAACAGAAACACAGATATTGACAGAGTATATAAAACCAATCCTAACCATTAGCTTAAGTTTTTAGTTGAATTGGTTCTCTACCATGGTATCAGAGCTAATGTGACAAGAAAATCAATTTCTACAAGTAGAGTATATGTATGTGATTATGGTTTCTCTCATTATTCTGACAAGGCCTTAACTTCTAGTACAGATTCTCCATTCCTGAAGGTGGAAAACGAGTCGTTCAGATTAGGTTCCATTTGGGTTCATTCGGTTCAAGTCATATTCGAGTAATAAGTCATTTATTTCAATCCAGGTCATAATTGAGCCTCACATCAATTAGTTTATCATTGAAAAAATTAAGCCAGTTTTCGATACAATTGAAGGTCTGTGTCACAAATTTCCCAGGTTAGCTAATTCAGGCAGTACCCATTACAAATGCATCAGTAAAATCAGACTTTATTGCAGAAATTACAATTTCAAAAGCATGAATAAAAACAAACTTCAACTATACTGTTTAATTTGTCTACAAATCATCATAAATATTTGTTTTTTTTGGGTTATTGGCTTCATCTTAATCTTACAATCAAGCACAAAAAAACAACAGAATTAAAACACACAAAAATGCAGAACATATAAAAACAATCATAATAAAACTCAGTAACAGAAAATCTGTAACAAAAGATAATCAGAATTTACCAGCAGGATCACTGTGAACAGCACTAACAAGCTGAACATAAATCTTTCGTCGAAAAATGCGATCAGTCAGACTTTTCTTTGTGTTCTTCAAGATTACAGTACCTTCCATACTTCCCTTACCATTTTCTCCATCTTCCTTAAGCATAGCAGGAGCTTTTTTGTCAAATGCATTGATCAATCTTAGACAATGCATATTCAGGTAATTACTCGTAAAAAAACGACCGCCTTTTCGGGTTTTCTTTAATTTTTAAGACTAGAGTTTCTGAGGTTTGAGTAGTAAAAATTCTGAGTTTTTTCTATGAAGAAGCAGAGAAGCTGATAATGAAGCTGGTTTTGTTTGGGAAAAACAGGTTATTATAAGCCATATGATTAAGTTGTTATCTTTCTGTGTATTTTGGGGTAAAAGAAAAATAATTTTACAGTCTTTTTCTTTTTTATTTTTGCTGTTATTTCTGTCAAATACATGTGTTATAGACTTTGTACTACATGGTATTGTCTTCACATATGAATTGACTTTCAACTCTAAAAATTAAAATTTGTTTTACAGAATAAAATCTTTTCCTCAATTTCACACTTATTTTTTATTTTTTATTCATCAATCTGTAACAACGTTCATACTTCTTTTTAGAGTTTATGAAAGTAACTTATGTATTATTGTATTTAATTGTTGTAACTACTTTGCTAATGAGATCATTCAAATTTAATTTCTTAGAAGTTGATATCGACACAAATGTAATAATACAACTTATACAAGTATTATCTTACTTGGTAGTTGACTAGTTGGTATGTTAGTATGTATATGGAATAATAGAATTTAGATATATATATATAAAAAATTATACCATCAAAGTTGATAAACCTTAATTTTGTTGTTGAAAGTGAAAGTGTGAATTTATTTATATAATTTTTCTGTTTAACGTGAAGCTAATCACGTGTTTTTATATAAAGTATTACATCAATTACTTGTAACAAGTTTCATTTTCTAATTAATTATGATTCTCCATAAGACAATTAACATAGTTTGATGTGAACATCAATTAGTGCTTTCTAGAATTCTTGAGCAATGGTAAAAATATGGGTGTGATCACTGATCAGCAAAAAGAAACCGGGTATCTGATTCTAAACCCAAAACTGTAAGTTTTTGCAAAAGCATTTTTTTTTAAAAAAAAAGACAAACAACAAATGAACAACACAAAGGTGCAAAAATTCTGATTACTCGGAACTTGAACTAGAATTTATTCTCTCTAACTTCTAGTCATATGAATTTATTACCCCATTTCATTAAAACAATGACATTTTTTTTTTAATATTTTTATTTCACAATATTCAAAACACGTTTTAAGAAATTTAACTACTAATGACTTTCGTTATGATATTGTACAACTTAGGTCCTGTTCTTTTCAACTATATTATTCTACTCTGTTGACACCTATATTGACATCGAACTACTGCTCTATAAGGCTCAATATAAACTCGTACGTGATAATATAACGAAAGAACGGAGGGAGTATGATTCGGATAAAGCACAGATTGTATACCCAAAAAAAAGGGTAAAAAAGTGACGTACGTTTATTTGCCTTTATTCTATTGTCGGCTGGTAGGATTAGTGTTGGGGGTTTTGGTCTTGATTTTGTGCTAAACGAATGTCAGAGCATGTTATGGTTGGCTGAATAAAGTTTCTTCCTTTTTGCTTTATCAATTTTTTTGCTATTCATATGAATTTGAAGTTACCTGAATAGTAGTTTACTCTAAGACGGACGTTTCGAATATGTATAAATGTACTCGTATAATATTTTCTCCGCTCTTTAATACAAAATCCGATGAATCATAACATTATAAATTTATCAAAACTATTGCATTTAATATAATGAGCTGGAAGCAGTGGCAAATTCTAATATCTGTCAATTGAGTTTTCCATATCATAGTGTCATAAATGGGGTAGGGGCGGGACCGTGGTGTGGGTATGGGGTGGGTAAGTTCTCAAGTCTATACTATCGGATATAGACTTGTACATATATCGACACTTACTTGATTTGTATGTCGACCTCAAAATGTTAATCTAAATTCGTAATTTACTTGAAAATAAAAGATTTGAATTTTTACTTGAATCGAAAACCACTCTACCTTTAGTACATTCTAAAGTGAGGAGTATTAGACTATTAGTTGGGAATGTGGGCTATCCTCGCCCTCACGTGCCATTGCTACCCAATATCAGTCATACATCAAACGAGACTAATATGCATATACTCCGTAGTAACTATGCAAAAGTAATAATCACTTTGATTGTGTAATATTAACTGCTCGTAACAATGTGACAACGAAATCTGAACTTAAACGGATGTACCACCTATAGGTAAGAACTCCTCACCGAAGAAGAGTCGCGGTAAAGAGGAGGAAATTTGGTAATAATTTCAAAAGAGGACAAAATCTTTGAATGTGACTGATAATAATGTGTGGGGTTAGCTAAGAAAGGTAGCAGTCAACCAATAGATAATTACATACATTAGTCTAAGCATCAACCTTGACAAATATTTTCCTATAAAATAAGGACAACAAATGGAAAAATATTGAGAATGTAATAATGTAAGTACGGACTACGGAGTATATAATTAACAGCTTGACCTGTGGAATTATGGGTCTTTGTTGGTTGCCGGTTGGCCCAACAGGGGGTCTTATTATTTGGCATACGGTTTCAATCAAATGAAGAGTTCCCTTCGTTTCAAAATGATGTTCTTGTTTTGATTTTTATGGTCAAATTAAAAATAATTTATCGAAAATTCTCACCAAATCATATAACCAATATATAAAGCTAAACTTTTAGCCAAGCGACGAGATAACGACACTTGGCGTTCCAACTTTTCGTCAAGTATCGCGCCACGTAGGATAGAGTTATATAGAATTTAATTTGTAAGATAAAAAAAAATTAATTTAGAATTCTATTTTCAATCCAAATTTGGATAGAATTTTAGGATAAAATTGTTAATTTATAGTTTTATTTTCGATAAAGTACCAATATTTCATATGTACAAATTAAATTATAATTTTATTAAAAAAAAAAATTGTAACACTCCTAAATTATCATATAAATTTATTTTTTGTATCATAGTATTTTTTTGGAGCAAAGGAATTAGCTCAAAATGCACCACATCCATTATTTATAATATATTCTAATCAATTAAAACAACATACTTTACAATCTAATATGATTTTATTACTGTGTGTAGACCTGTCAATCGGGTCGGGTCACGAGTCATTGCGGGCAGGGTCATAATTACAGGTTACGGGTCAAGAAATGTTTTTCACCAATGTTATTATTATTAGTCATTACATGCCTACTATATAGTTTAAATCATCACAAAAGCACGTCAATTCCTAACTTATTTTGTCTTATGTTTTAAAATTTGGCATATAGATTAAAAATTATCTTAAAATTCAATAAACAACCAGGGCATCGCACGGGCACAAAACTAGTACATATATAAAAGATATGAACTTGTGAAATATTAATAGATTTATCTACATTCTACAAAAATACTCCGTATTATTTTTATAATCTATAATTTTTTTTATTAATATATAATTAAAGATATTAATGGTAAAAAAAAAAAGGTTTTGAAAACCATGCAAGACAAAAACAATTTATCAGCTTTAGAATAGTATCCGAGAAATCAAATTTCATCTACATTATTTGTCATTTTGTTCTTCATAGTAATTCTACTAGTAAATGAACTTGGTGATGGAATAAATGAGCATATAAATGTCCAAGATCTAAATGACATAACACACAATGCAATAAGGTACAGTTTTAGGTTAGGGACCATGTGATAGAGCTATTAGATGGACCAGGCTATATGAGAAAGCCTTGGTTGAAAGAAAAGAATCACAGCCAAAATCAAGGATATGAATTAGACGTATCATAAATTATTTAACCAACCCAAATTTAACATAGGGAAAATGTTTTTTAGAAAATAGGGTGTTGTTTGGTTCACTTGGGAATTAGAACTTCCCATAAATTGGTAAATTTATGGGAATTAAATTCCTACAATTAAATTCATGGGAATTTTATAAAATTGTTTGGTTAACAATGAGGGAAGTAACTTCCATGGGAATTTCTACTTACCTAAGGGGGGTTAGGTAAGTAAGTTCCTCCATTTTGTGGGAACTCAAAATTCCTAGGAAGTTTCACTTCCCTCATTTCATCAAATTATTGTCAACCAAACAACACACTAAAATTGCAATTCCTAGGAAGTCTCACTTCCCATGTTTTTTTATGTCAAACAAACAACCCCTAGGATTGATGTTTAGCTATTGTTAATAGGATAATGTTATATGTAGCCCTAAGGGCTATATATAAGCATTAAATATACTATTGAAAATTGTATAAAATTAGTAATTCATGACAAAAACACGCGTAAATCAGTGTTAATAGTGTTTATATTTTGATGATTTCTTAACCTTTTTACGATTTTCAAGTGTAAATTTAATGCTTATATGTAACCCTAAGGGCTATGTATAACATTTTCCTTGTTAATATGTAGCATATGCATATCATTATTATCATACAATAAAGCACGAAGTAGTTTATTTTAAAAAAACTGGTTCTTACCGTAGGTTACTTCAAAGTTTCAAATTATACACATATTACGTGTTAGTTTGTCAAATCCGTCTTACAAGACATGTTTCGTTTACGAGAATTTAGTATGCATATAATATCTGTTATTTGGCTTACATTTCCACACAATCAAGCTCAAGTCCTGTCAAGCTTATCTTATTCGATTTAGGTTCAAAAATTATACTGTAATCAAGCATATACACGTTTTGATACCAGTCCTCTTATTCAAATTATTCAACAAGAGTGACATTTTGAAGGAACATCTACAATTAACAATTAAAGATAATGAAAACAAATTTAACAAAATCAAACAAGAATTTCAAAGCATGTTCATGAAATTCTCAATTCATGATGAAAATTTCATTCTAATTAAGCCAAAACCACTGACAGTAAAGATCATACAAGTATAAATTTTAATATTATTGGCCAAAACCACTAGCAGTAAAGATCATACAAGTATAAATTTTAATATTATTGGCCAAAACCACTAGCAGTAAAGATCATACAAGTATAAATTTTAATAAATTTTAATCTTGTTTCGGGTGTAGTTTTGGAGCCTTGTTAGGGGTTAGGCTTGGATGTCGGACTGGAGTTACCTGCAAAATAACAGTGGTTATGCCCACGAGGGTGGCTTTGAAGAACCCCCCTCCGATGCGTAAGTTAGTAAGACTTTTGATGAATAATAATGGATATGTGATGAAATGTATGTGTCTAACCTCTTTTTCGTTGTACTTAAATTACCATTTATAGTTGTTCTAT